ACTCTAACACCCTACGTCGTAGAGTCCGACAGGAATGACCTCAAATTTTGGAGGCCTCACAATGGATCTCTTAACTACACAATCCCCAGCCTGAACAAGGCACAGTCAACAACAGGTTAAGCTGAATGACAACTTGTTGGTACCATCTAAAGAACATGTCCAAGTTACTTTTGCAATGGCACTTCAATATTGGACTCCCAAGTCACAAAAAGTTAGTTTAGAAGTAAAGATACTGTATATAACATTACCTTTTCTAACGACTTCCCAAATGGCCAAATAAAGTACAACGCCATCTTGAAACAAAGTTTACCTAAAAAAAAACCAAAAAACATAATGTTCATCTTCATGTTCCAGATTTCAGGAAATATTAAAATACTTTGAGCGATGCAACTATTTCATACGATACGTACCGTAAGGGGCACCGAAGATTGTTAGAAACATTACAGGACAAATGAGGAAGTAGATTAAAGATATCCACCATCCAAATAAAAATACATAAACTATGTTCCCAAAGCTGATCACCGGGCCTAAAAGAAAGGAGAAACCATAAATACAGGTTATTGCTTTCCAGGAACAACCCTATAATTGTCTGCATATGTATGTATGTATGTATGTATGTAGGTCCTGTTCAACAGAATTAAAGTGCAAAGACCTTTTGGAGGTTTAACAATGCTAAGATCAGAGTAGAGCTCTTTGATGACTTCTGATCGGTCTTCAATTGGCCTCTCTGTTACATTTCCTTTCCACTTCCTAAAACCAAACTGAAAACCAAAATAAAGGGTGATTTTTGAAAACTCTGAATTCAACCAAACTAGGAAAGCAGTAAAATGTCATTTTTAACATCGGCATTTTGCAATACACTGAAAAAAGAGGAATTATTTGCAGTTAAACTGTCGCCCTAGACCAGTCATGGCCCACCTTGTAGTTGTTGGCCTCCCTGTGTGCCTCCACCTCATTCTCAGCACAGATTGTGGTCTTTGAAGTGCCTTCATGCCAACCCTCTTCTCCATACTGTGACGCAGTAGACCGGGCACCTTGTGACAGAGTAGAACAGGCTGAGTTGCTGTGTCCTCCTGTGCGGATCAGAACTGTGAGAAAACCCTTCCACATGGCAAGACAAGAAACAGCAGTTCTCTAACTAATACAATCTCCAAAGTCCATAGATACAGCTATGCATGTTTGAATCATTTTTGTGGCATAGACTCACTCACCTCTGTGGACAGTGAGGAAACATTTCGGTGTGTAGTGGCAGAAGTGGTGGGCAGAAGCTTCTGGTGGGGGTGTCTCCACCGCGCCTAGCTCTGGATGGTGAGGGCCAACAGAGAGCCAATCAGTTTGGGACTGTTGCTGTGGGACATGGTGATGCTGCTCAGGATCCACATTGTTCTCTGAATAAGGAAATATAATGGAGAACTGATTTTTAAAACAGGCATGATACGTCAAACAATATTTTTTACATGATTTGTCAGTTCGGCAGTGAAAAGACGCTGAATTAAGACTTGGGGGGTCAAACACAACACAAAGCTGCACACTGGGGGGTCTCATTTCAGTAGAGGTTTGGAGGTTGACTGACACCCTGGAGCCATGTCCTCTGGCTGCCACTTTGAAATGTGTGACTAACAAAAACCTCCTGAGAGTCATGCAGGGTGTCCTAACGTGCTGTCAACTGCTGTCTGCCATAACCGATTGCATTATCAATGCATTGCAACAGATAGATAAGAATATGCTATGCTTTGAATTTAAAAATAGAGGCATGGTGGTTGTACCCTATATAGTTCATCTACTTATAATGTTGTTCATAGGATTCTGACTTTACAGGAACAATCAGTGGTTGCTCATTTTTGCTGTAGTAAACCTTCCTGATGACACACACCACCAAACTCACATAATAAACTACATTATGGTTGCAAAGTTGTGATCACCATTAAAGTCTAGGAAAGAAGCCCATGCTACAACTCTCACCTCTACCTGTCCGGACATAAAGGTGTGGCAGATGTTGTTTGTAATATCTTTCAAACCATTCTTCCAGCAACGCAGTGACTTTGATAGAGTTTATAGAGTCTTACAGAAACAAAGTTACAAAGTTTGGCTCAGATTGGAGGAAAGTTTGGCAGCACAGGTGAGTTTGATGAACGCGCTTAGGACAAATTCAAATGTACAAGCAAGGAGAAAAAAAGAGTTTAAACGCAAAGACACGTTTTGATTGAGATTTTGAGGGAACAAACGTTAAATGGAGGTCATGACAGCGAGTTCGAAGTTTTTGGTCTCACCTGTGGAATCAGTCGTGGATCTTCTCCGCAGGTTCTCCACATCACCTGGCATCAGCGTCGACTTTCTGTGGGACATTTGGTCTGTTTATTCCCCCAAAGTGTCACTCCTGTTTCATCTGTGCGTCGAGGCTTCACCCTTCACAAAGTCTGCCGTGCACTCACTGGTCAGTGCCCACGGCAGTCTGACTCTATACAAAGGCAGAAAGGGGAGGGGGATGGAGCTGCAGGGAAGATTGCAATCTTTTACATCTTACTGATTTAACCCTTTAAATGCATTCATAAAGTATCTCCTTCTGCACATGCACTTTCTATCTTTCTGTATTCAGATCAATTTGGATGCTTATATACTTATTTTAATCTGTGTGTAAAGATTTATTTATTTTGGCGCCCCCAGTGGTAGAATCAGTGTGACTCCAGACAGCAATGCAGTCTGCACACGCCTCTAATGCACTTGTAACTTTTGTTAGTCTTAGTTTGTGCCTCTCATGTAGGCCAGTTAACAACACTCACTGATGGTATTTCTAGAATTATCCCCTCCAGAAGAGCGTCTAACTATCTAGATGAGAAAAATACCATCTGTGCATAATAAAAAAGACTTTTAATCCTTCCTTTAACTACGGGTTGCAACTCTTATTTGCAAATCCATCCCCTTACCACTTTATTTCTAAGTCCCCCTCCATTCAAAAATATGTTTTTCTTCTTGTTCCGTGTATGCAACTAATACAAGTGAAGTAGGAGATATCTTGTACAGGAAAACTTTATAAATGAGCAACATTTGCATATGCATAGATTCTGTCATTTCTAATGAGGTAGGAGTAGATGCTTTTTTAGGGATTTTAATGTAAAAAAAAAAAAAGATTTTGTTGGAAAAAACATATCACACACATTACTGTTCTAAGCTGATTATTTGCATATATGTTTTAATACGTGCTTGGAGGGGATCTTTCATTTTAGGTTCACATTATACGAATTGAATTAAAGGATTTGTTTGTATTAGGAAAGCGGCGCAATTTAACAGGTTAAAACCCTTTTCTTATCATTTAGCTGACAGAATATTTTTTCATTTAGGTAGTTGGAAAAGTTTTTGAGTATGTAGAAAATACCTATATAATAGTGGAAAACATTGTTAAATGGGTCTTTCAAAGGACAGCAGGTAACAATCACACAGAAAAGTGTAGGGTTACTTTTATTTACATATAAAAACAAAAAAATACAGCTGCACAGTCAAAGTGACAGTAATCTTTTTTATACACAGTTGGGAGACTAAACACTGAAAGCAACACAAATCATTTAGACAGCTCACAAAAACAGAATTTATTACTTTTCAAGACATAAAAAGTGAAACATAATTTCCAAAGTAATCTTCATTTAATTTCTTTATGTGGTAACCTTTGAACATAAACGTTGGTGGATTTTAGGTATGCTTTTTTGTTGCCGAACTCACTATATTGTTATTGTAGCAGTGTGGTAACTAGTAATAAGATAAATAATTCTCTATCATACAAATCAAATGAATAACTAGACACGTACATTAGACAAACTAATTTGCAATCGCTAAGAAGCGGCCTATCACAGTCTACTTCAGCATCATTTATCCATATTGAGCGTAACATGAAAATACTAGGGGGAATTTTGGTTACAGCACAAGTACAGTGACAACTTTTTATAGCATAGTTGACTCTTCCCTTTTTATTTATCATATCAGCAGAGTAATCAAGTGATTCGATATATAAATCTGTACAAATAATACCCTTATTGAGGTATCTATGAACAACCTATATACAGTACACACATTTCGAAAGAGAGAGACAGAAAAATAGATGCATTTGGGCAAAAAGTGACTTCTAAACCCACTGCAGTCTAAAAAATGCAACATACAAAAGGTTTCCAACTGGGCTGAGGAGAAGAGGAAACACTTATGAAGGCCAGTTCAGACTGAATATATACAACAGATAAACAAAAGTAGAGATACAGCTGTAAAAAAATAACTTTTAAAAATAATTGTACAAGGAGAAAGGTTGTTCTGAAATATACAAGAAGAACTTTTTGAGAAAAGATGGCCATTTAATACATTTTTCTCCAGGCAAACAATAAGCTGATTGTTGGTTTATTGCACCATACAAAGAGTTAGTATGTATAGCTGATTGAAGAGGAACTTAACACCGTTGAAAGTCTTGTGTTTACTGACCTCTAGTAGTTTAACTTTTCACCTTGCTGTAGTGATGTACAGGTGTACCTAAAGTGATGCTGGGTGGAGTCGGAGGTTAAACAGGCTTATAACTTTCAACCAGAGAAGGCAGTGCAACTCTTCAGCCTGGTTTTAACGAAATCATGTCAGTATTTGTTTGCAAATGTCAATAACATGAAGAAAGGTAAGGACAATATAATAAAAGTGAAGCTGTGAGACTGATGTATTTGACTTAACTAAAACACCCAATTGTATACAAAATGAGCTTATGATCTTATACAGATTTTCCATTTCTTTTAGTTCTTTCTGGCTTTTGTTTAAGTCCCAGTGTGTATCACAAATTCTTTAAACTTGTCAAAGTCACTTATAATAATAATTTCTGTGATATTAGTAATAAAAGGGAAAGGGAGATAATGATTAGTACATCAAATTAACTTTACATAAACAAAGTAAATGGCTAAATAGTAGTAGGAAGACAGAAATTGAGTCTTAAGAACATTAAAATATAATGAAAAAGAAGACCTGGGTTAAACAGTATTTGCAAGTAGCCCGTAGCATTTTTTTTTTATTACCTGTATGGTCTTCTGTATGAATCGGGTTTTACTGCCCTGGGACAGCTCAAATAATTATAATACAAGCAGTCAATCCAAGATTAAGAATACATCTGACTTTCAAAAGGTTTATCAACTGCCTACATCATCAAATCTCCTTACTGGTAATTCCAAAGAGAAGTTAGCAATTCATCCTGGACACCTTACCCTGCCACATGTAGAGTTTTATGTGGTCACAAGCAGGGCTGAGCTGGCAGATGAACTCATAGGGGGTTCAGAATAAAGGTATCGGTTTCAAGCCATATAAAGTTTAGCTGCCTCAATTGTCTTGTCATCAAGGAGTTGCCTTTGAAATTTTATTGGACACAAAGTATAAAAAATATTTTTTCATTAAGTTATTCACAACATATTTTTTCACTTTATCCCTTTGCTTTTTCTAAAAAAAAGAAAAGAAAATGAAAATAAAATAAAACACTGACCAGCTTAGTTCCATCTTGTTCTCTGCTCTGGGCATTGGGAATTAGGTGCACTTTAGTAAGAATTTTGAAAGTATCCAGCACTTTTTGTAGCTTACTGTCTGTGTACCGCAAAGCAATAAATTGGAGCTATGCTCTTAAAAGTCAGAGTCAGCATCCATGAGCTCCGCCTCCATTAAATTGGTCTGGGAGTGAATTGGTCCATAGCCGGCCCTTCGGCCCGCTGGTACCCGAGCCACGTGGGCTAACCTCTCTGACAGCCCATCGGTGAGATCCATCTCCCTGGGATAGCGGGAAGATCCACTGGGCTGCCAGGTGGAGGCTGAGGGGAGGCAGCGTGGGCCAAGACCCAGATCCTCTGGGCGGTCATTGAAGGTTAGAGGGTCAGAGATCAGGCCGCGGCCATAGCTGTTCCAACTGCTCTGGTATTGCGGGTAGGGGCACTTCTCCTCACAGGACAGGGGGTGGGAGGGTTGGAAATCTGGGTAGGACCCTGGCAGAACTTCCTCCTCCAGCTTCTGTTGTTGCCTCTGCTGTTCCCGCAGATTAGCAACCAGACTGGGGTGGCATGGCAACTTGGGCAGGCGAGGCACTGAGCTACGACCAAACTCACGCTGCTGATAAGGCTGGTGGTCCACCGCCTCCTCCACTGGACGCACCTCCTTCTTCCTCTTCTTCTTCTTCTTTTTCCGCTTTATCATCTCTGGTGAAATCTCTGCCTCCACCATCCACAGCCTGTTCCTCTCCTCTGGAGGTGGCACTGTAAAAAAAACACAGCAAACAACTGAAAATAAGTTGGTGTTCAACTTTCTTCAATAAAGAAAAGGGGAAAAGATGAAAAAGGAGGACAAAACATGAAAGCAAAAAAGGTTAAAAAAAGTACAAAAAACCGACATCAGGGAAGGATGAGGGAACATTTGAAATACTCTGCATATGCAGAGTAGTAGGCATTAATGTCAGAGTCATTGCCTCCAGCACTCACCTGGAGTACCAGTGGGAGTAACAGAGATGTCCTGAGGCAGGATGGCACCTCGCCTGGCCACCATCTTGGTCACATGCTGCGCCCAAGCTGACGACATATCATTCGACGGCTCATTTATGTCAAAGTTGATTCCAGCTGTGAATGAGAAAAAGACAAGCCACAAACTTTCCATTTAGGGACAACTAAGGACAGATTCAACCTACTCTTAAAGACTCCCCTGTGGTGCCGCTAGAACGCTGAACTGTGCCAAGTTAAACAAGCATGGCAGCCACAGCAGCCTCGCAGCTTACGTGAGTAGAGGAATGTGTCATTCAGTTCTTAGCTACAGACATAACAGTTGCCTGAGTGTGCAGCCTCTATGCCACTAAAAAGCAAATGGAAAATCTTTTCAAGCCAAATGTGAAGGAAAAATAACACATAGTGGTCCACAAAGTGAGTAAATCATTACCTCAGCACATGCCGGAATTGAATGAATTGCAATTTGTTTGTGGTGCTCAAAGCATTTAAATACAACATTTAAAAACTCTTGTACCAAAGAAATAGTCCTGACAAGGAAACCCAAAAATATCTATATGGCTAGACACCTCTAGAGCTACATGTGTGTGAGACAACATGAGGTATAATCTTGACTATAAGATGCCTTGCAGTTTCAGTTATTTACCACAAGGTGGAAGTATGCACACATCTCCCTACAAGGCTTCCACTGTTTTATTCTTCACCCCAAATAGTGAACAATATAGCAAACATTGGGGCAAATTTAACTTACTACACTCTAATTTATCCTAAATTATCCGTTTATGCTTCCACAGAGTTAAGGGTTAGGGTCATTTTTAATGAATCCACTGAAGTACTCACCGACTGGTCCATCATGGGACACAGTGTGCATGCTGAAAGACATTTCTTTCTCTGGGTCCTTGTGAAGCTCCTTCCTCATTGCAAATGCCTTGGCAATCATCTTGCTCTTCTTTATCCTCTTGGGTTCATTGTCACTACGGCCAATAATCCTGACACAGGAACACAAGGCAGGTTGAGAAAGAGAGACCACAGCTAATAACGACACTTGGTATAATGACAGGCAGTATTTTCCCCAAAAGAAACCAATCAGATGGTTAGAAAGACGCACAGGGCAACTGAAGATCACACGTTTAATGCCATCAGCAGCCATGTGATCTTGGGCAAGGTGCTGATTTCTTACATGTTCTCTCATTTTACATCACACTGGATGAGACTAAAGCCTAAACTGAAAACAATGATTCCAAGAATTACTGGGTTTTTTTTCTTAAAGCTGGAAGAAAACAAATTCCTGAGAGTAAAATCCAAGTCACAGTGAGCCCTTGTGAGCGCTGTTCTAAAACCAGGGATTAACAGATCAGAGCAGCAGACCTAAATGCACACATTGGCGACACACAGCAGGATTTTGACTACATTTATACCTCCATACTTTTCAATGATCAGGGGGAAAATACCAGGTTTTAGCAGGGAAACTCTGCTTGGTTAGTACATGTCTGGGTGCATAGAACTTAAGACTTTTCCCACACTGTCACATCTGCCACCATATATGGAATTGGACAGACATGATGGGAACACAAGCAATGAGAAGAGACTGATAGAGATTTCAAAGGCAGAAACAACCAATCTATTACTTTCTATCTACTTTAGAGGTACAACCATAGCCACAGTCTGTTTTAATGTTATATTTCACTTGATGTTTGCTTACTTGCACCAGGTCCGTTTCCAGATGAGGATGGTGGCCTTGGTCCAGACCCAGGTACTCATAGCGATTCCCGTCCCAAACATGGAGAACAGGTTGATTTTCTCCACCATCAGACTGGGCCGGTTCTTAATGGTGCACTCTGGGATTGGCTTGTTGGTTTGAGAAGCGATTGTCACATTGGCTTCGCACCTGTTTAAAATATCACAGAGATGATCATTCCATGTCTCTGCCGTGCCACATGTGCCTCCCGCACCTTCTAGCCATATGACTGGGGTACATTCAAATGCAGGATCTGGCAAATAAGGAATAAGAAGTGGTTTACATTTTTGAGGCTAAATTAATTCCGATGCAGCCAGTGTCAACACTGTGGGGAAATAGGGCTGCATTCACCGCTGTAAGCTGAGCGGTTGAGCAGTGGTTTGGAGTCTCAACAGCATCAGTTTGTGGATTTCTCTTTGCAGGGTTTAGCTATGAAGTCATTCTGGCAGGTGTAAACCTTTGCTACCACACGATGTAGTAACAAGATTCTATTTGATCTTATCAACATTTTACTATTTTATTATAATCATTGTATTATAATAAATTATTTTGTGTAATATTTTATGACTTAATTTGTCTGACTTTAATCTTTTATTGTCTTAACAACTCATATTTTATTGCTTTCTTATTTACTTCACTGTATTGGTCTCTAAATTCTGTTCATAAGCTGTTTTGTCAATCTCTTGTAAAGCACTTCGAATTGCATTTTATTTGACTGATTGTTGCTATATAATTAAAGCTTCATTGATTCATTGATTGATTCATTCATTCACTGAACAAAAGTGCAGCAAATCACATGATTTCTGACACTTAAAACATTAAACACTTACAGGACATATTCTCTGAAGCTCCTCTCCCATTCAGCCTGGTTGAAGAAGTCGTAGAAGTGGCAGCCAAAGGTGATTAAAACAAAGCCAAAGGCAAGGAATCCAAATATTCCTGACAAGGAGAAACAAAACAACCAATCAGATGTGAGATACCGGACACTGCACTCCCAATATCATTCATACAGAAAGGAAAATGTACCTAAGAGGATTATGGAAAATGTGGAATAATCATCATGTTAAAAGGACAATAGAAATTCATATTTTTCATGTTATTTTCCTAATTTAAAAGCCATAAACTGGAGATATTAGTTCACAATGATCCAACAACAATTTTCATATTCTGTGTTTATTGTGCCCAATGACATGCTGCCCACGCATGACATGCTTAGTTTAACCACTCTGTCTCCACTCTGATCATAACCAGGGTGGTTTTTTTACCCTCGTTCTGTTTCTCAGGTCACCAGTGGGGTGTGAAATGGCAACAGATGAAAGACGAGAAAGAGAACATACCAAGTCTCAGCATCGTCTCATTGATTTTGCTGGCCGCTTTCTCACTCAGAAGTCCAGGGTGGTTGCTCTTGATGGAAAACAAAGTCATGACACCTAAAACAAAATCAGTCAATGTTGGTGAGATTGGCTGTGGGGGGGAACTGAAGCTGAAAGATTTGGATTGAAGGGCTAAAACTGCTCCTCCCAGGTTAGTCACTGAGCTCTTTGACTGTTGCTGTAAATGTGTCACTGGTTTTTGAGTCACTCACCCCGAATGAGGAAGTAGCCACCGACAACAAGCACCACCCCAATGGGAGCCAGCACAAACCCAGCACGGTATCTGTAGTTTTTGTAGCCCACAAAACAGATCCCACTCACAGAGTCTCCATCCACCTGTGGAGCACCACACAACAAAGCCACAATTAATGCAAGTGATGGTGCGATCAAAAACAAAAAAGCTCTTTTCTCTTGACTGGAAAACTTTTTTCAGTTTTAGTATCACATTTTACCTCAGCGATAGCCAGGATGGCCACAGTGAGGACGAAGGGGATGGACCAGGTGACCATGTGGAAGTAGGAGGTCCTGCCAGACAGAGGCTGGTGGGTGGTGCCCAGGGCCTTGAAGGACGTGTGCCAGGCATAAGTCAGCATGACGAACCAAATCACACCCGACATCAGGGAGTAGTACACAATGATGAAGATGGTGACACATGACAGCGTCTCTGAAGACCTGTAGGGGTCAGCGCAACATGAATGTGATTTTTAGGGCTTTTTTGTTTTTTTGCTCCATTTTATGACTGTGATCACATCAAATCAAGCTAAGTGCAATTTAATCGGACAGTTGAAGACATTCACTTACGAGGGCTCCCCAAGTCGCATGGTGTTGTCGCTCTTGCACACAATCTCGTCGCGCGCGCCATCCAAGAACTGGGCCAGCCAGCCGATACTACCCACAAAGAAACAGGCGTTGATGTAGAAGAGAATGACGGCTGGGTAGCGGTTGGAGTTCTTCCAGTCGGCAAGAAATGTGGCCTGAAATGGAGGAAATTATGAAAGTCAGACGGGAATACCCTCTACATAAAAAAGTTAAATCTCTTGACCTTCTGATCAAAATGACAAGACAGACAACACAGACAATTACGGGCGCTGTAATTTTGTCTCACCAGGGTGAAGAAGGTGCAGAGGAGGGTGATGGTGCCGAAGTAAGCAATGTAGGCGTGCATGTCATTGTGCTCCTCCTCGGTGAACAGCGGGTTGTCACACTGGATACCGCAGCCCTCCACATCCTTGTACCAACTGGACTGAATGTCTGTCTTTACCAGGGGAGCTTCACACTGGCCTGATGTGTTGAACTTCAGTTTCTGCACCTCATTCTGCACACGAAAAGGGAAAGGTGTGCTTGTAATCAACTTTAGTGAGTCGGGATTACATACAGCTATATTGTGTAAAGTTATTGTTATAGAGAAAAAAATTATGGAAGTCTCACATAGCCCTCCCTGCAAAAATTGCTGAATTTTACATTTAATTTAATGATAATAATGAGAAAAGCTTTGTGAAGCTACAACCAGCAAATGTTACTTAATACACTGACACACAAACAAGCATAATTATATATATATTTATATTATTACATTTTTCAGCACTACTAGAATGCATTCACCCTGCTAGGAAATCCAAGGCGGCTGCTCTCAAGTTGGCCCTAAGCTGCAGTAAAAAGAGACTTTCCCTTTGGGGATCAATTAAGTATCACACAACATTACGTAATGAAGCTTACCGAACAGCCCACAGGAAATTGGTCACATTTGAGGAAGTTTGGCCAGCCTCTCTCCTGGTCCACGATGCTACATGGACGACGCGTTGCCAAACACAGGCTCTGGCTGGGCAGCTCAACTCGACCATTCTCACATTTGGGCATGTAGACGGCACACAGCAAAGGCTGGATGACTGACCAACAGCGAGGAGCGTTCCGCAAACCTAGAAGAGAAAAACAGACACTGACATGAGATACAACAAGACATGGGCTGCATTTATCAAACTGACAGCATTATAATCAATATACTAATTACCCAAACCTAGAAGGTGGAGATGTGCACATACACATAAATAGAAGTTATGACAGGAACAAGAAAATAAAAGATTAGATAGTTTGATTAGAACCGACGGACTGTGAGGATCTTCATTCACATCAAATTAACTGTATCAGCGATTTTTCAAATAGATTAGGCGATTAATCGAACAATCAATCAACAGAAAATTGATTGTCAATTAATAAAAATAAAAGGACAAACATTTGCTGATTCCAGCTGCTCAAAAGTATGATTTTGCTACTATTCTTTGTCTTTTATGCTAGTCAAATATGGTCAAAAATTCAAAGACACATTAGGATCAGCTTTTCTGACACTTTATAGACGAACTGATTAATCTGGAAAATAATCTGCAGATTTAATGATACGGAAAATAATCTGTAGTTGCTGCCCTATTTACAACTGTCATGAAAACAGTATGCAGAATAGTCCTGATAAAGTAGTTGTGATACCCAAGGACATTTTGTATAACGGACAAAGATTCCAGCTACTGCCAACAATTTCACAGAAACAGTCAAAAGCATATTCAAACCTAACAGAGAAAAAATAATTGAATATAGCATCACAAAGAATAGTGCAGCGTGAGCATAGTGAGAGATATCATATGAATGGGTGATAGTACTCGCCCCCATCTGCTGTGACTTACACAGGAGCCAGAATAAACCATATCCCACAATACAAATGAGGCTCCTTAACACATGTCATCCATTCTGGCTCATTTGGGAGACCTTGACACCTGTGAGGCAGGGACCTGGGTCTAACAGGTCATTAGTGGGTACTTACGAATGTGAAAGTGGTCTTGCAGAATATCTACAGACCAAGGTTATAAGTGAGACTCTCCTATTGTTTGCTCTCTCACACCTATGAGTGATTCCCTTTGTAGCCTTTAATGGCTTTTAACCCTTCATTTCCTGTTGAGGCTCTCTTCCTATCTCTACCCCCTGAGTATTTGAGACCTCTCACCCCAGCCCATTGTCACACCAATTTACATTAGTACTACATTCATTTTATTCTGAATATTCTTCTGCAATGACTAAAAACACAATCAATTAACAAACTTTTTTAAATTTATTATTGAATTACTACAAATCAAAAGCCTGGAAGAAAATGTATCATTGCTTTTTGATGTCAAAATAATCAAAACCTTCCATTTACAGTAGTCAATAATGGATTTATAGTTAAGTTATAATATAATACAGCATAATTAAAATTAGCAAGCCATGTTAATGTCCATAATAACACTACAGCCTATGTATTGACAGTAGGCTCATTTTTGGCTGATCTCCGATAGTACAGTGTAACAACAGGGATTTATCATATCTCTACAGTTATAACAGTTTTTTTTTTCATTGGGTTGTAGGTTATCATTCTGTAGGCACTGAAATGAGACAGAGCATCTTTTATCCTTTACTTGGACCCATGAAAACTCACCAGACCACATGGTCAACTTCTCAAAAGCCTCTTCTTGGGTGCTGGAGTCCTCCGCCAGGATCAGAGAAGTATGCGTGTACGGTAAAGGCGATCCCAGACATGTGTTGTACTTAAGAGCCTCGCAAGTTGTGGTTTTCTTGCAGTTATCCTCAAATATGGTCCCGTTTGGAGACAACACCGCACCGGAGCCCGAAAGCCAGGCAGCCCAGACCCAAAGCATCCCGTAAAATCCAACAATGGGGCTCCTGCGACCCTGGGAAGACATCTTGTGAGAGAGATTCAAGTGTGCAAAACTGAGATTACTTTGACTTCTACTGCTTCAAATTATCCCGGTTCCCAAGAAACCCAAAGATGGAGTTTTCTTCATTAGATTTCGAATAGGTTTCCAAACGCGGCATGGTGAGGAAAATCTGCGGGGCGCTTCAGAGTTTTCTCGCAGTCCTCCCAAACTTTTTTATTCTGCACTTCTCGTCCGATCCTTGCTGGATCCTCCTGAATTCCTTCATTATCTAAATCCCAAACGCTCCACACACACACACACACACACAAAAACCGTCCTCGGCTTTTAGAGAAAGCGCACCATCAACTTAAAACCATATAAAGTATTCCTTTGAAGCATTTAGGCTGGGAATGAAAAAGACATCACGCCGAGAAAGTTGTAGATTCGCCCTCCCCCCACTTGCAAAAAACTTGCCATGAAAAAGTCTGGATCTCTGTAATAGGATCTCCGGCTCAGATGCACCACCCCCTTTTCCACAGTCCCCCTCCACCCCACCCTCCTTTTTTATGCTGGCAGAAAAATAAGATGATCAATTATCCCATATCTCCCTGCGTGTCCCAGGAGGTGATTTTTTCTCCGGGTGAGGTGTCTGATGAGAGCTTTCTCGGGCTGTGTTGTGTTCCTGAGTTGCAGCTCGGTGTCTGGTTGTTTTTTTGTCTCTGGTATGCACATGGTGGGGGAGAGCCAGAGCAACAAAACCTCCCCTCCCATCCCCCCTCTGCAAGTGGAAGAATGTGCCTTATGGCAGGCCTTCTCAAAGTTTCTCATCTCAAGGACCCCCAAAACAACCCAGACCACCGATCTGATGAGGTTTACTCTCACATGGGAAGACAGTCTGTGCTGAGTCATACACCTGTAGGATTTTATTCAACATGTCACCCATGTCTCTCAGCTTTGTGAAACTCCTTAAAGACCCCCAGGTGGTCCTCAGAGCTACCAATCTACCAAAACAATGCACAGCAGCTATATTACATAATCCGTTCACATAAATATATTTAAAATGTGTGTGCACTCATAACGAATTTCAGTGGGGTGATGAAGTAGTTAAAAGAAATAAAAATCAAAGAAGAGATGACATTAAAGAGCAATACACATTATACATTACAGTACCTCAGACTATATAGAACTATGTATAAACTATTTTTGCAGAATAAATCCAGAAATATACTACTGTATATTTATATTAGCCCACATAACAATAATAGGTATAAGTATGAATAATAAATACAATACATATACATATATAGTATATGTAATGTACACATATTTGACAGTAATAATACAAAATCATAAAAAAAAAATTTTTGTTCCTGCAGATCATTATGTAAGCCTGTATTGAAGAGTAATCTCACTTTGTCCTCGTCCATAGAATAGAATGTACCTTTCTATTAGCGTTTATAATAAAAATAAGTTATAGCCTACATCAGAAATTCTGTCAAACAGATTTGTTTATGTTTCTAAATGCCTTTTATGGCTGTGTATATTGCTGGCTGTTTGCCTTAAAGTGATTACAGTCAGAACCCTAATAAATGTGTAAGATTTACAGGACATTGTGAAAAGTTAGTGAACATGTTTATATGGCAGTAGTGAACATGTGAGTGTCTGTGTGTGGGAGGGAAGGAGTAGAGGGACACAGTTAATACATTAAATCAGTTTCCTTTGGGACTTCCATAATGGACTGGGCTTCCTCTCATGGTTAAGGCGGCTGCAGGGATCTTCAAACACTGCTAAACATAAAATATTAACATTTCTAAAACACATAAGACATTATCTTATGCTGATTTAATGAAGTTTTTTTTATGTTCGAGAATATGCCAAAAACAAATTTCAAACTGGTCAAATCTCAACCATGGTGCTGTTGTTATCGCATTAATTGGACAGTGCACTTGTGGTATTTACATGGCTGCAGATGCTTTGTTTCTCTCCTGGTGTTCTGAGAGTAAATCTGGGTTAATTCTGCTCCCTCCTCTCTCTCTCTCTCTCTCTCTCTCTCTCTCAGTCTGTGTGTGTGTCTGGGCCTCTTAGAAATCCACAGCAACATGGCTGCCTGAGTGAGTCAGAGGCAAAAACCAGGGACCACACACAGAGCCCTGGAGCCCAGGCCAACACACACTCACTCTCACTTACACACACACAGAAACACACTCACTATCATGAGAGACTGCAATAGAGCCATAAGCTGCTGTTAGAACTGTCACTTTTTCATTACACTCCGTTGCTTTTACTAAATTATAACATGTTGCACCTCTGCCATCCCAAATGTTTTTTCACTCCTCCGTGCCATCAGCTTGCTGATACTGTAGATTTTGTTACGTGCGAAAGGGAAAAATTACAGTCAGCTTTAAACTAACATCGAAATGTCATGTTTAGATTTTGGACTTGCGTCAAAGGCTGACTGTTTCTGCTCCCAAAGATTACAGGCATCAGGTTTCAGGCTGGGAATGTCTCACAACTCAGGTTTTCATTTGCCAAGCAGAGAAACGGGGTGGAGATAAGAGGTTGTGTCGGTTTATGCTTCTTTACAGTTACATCAGGGGCAGATTTAGAGAAATTGTCATGGGGTAGCAAGAGGCTGGCATGGAGACTGTAAGGATTGGCAGAAATATATGCTGATGTAATTGCAAACAATCACATATGTCAACATTTGTTTGGAAAAGCCTCCATATGAAGATATTTGAACTAAACTTTTATTTCCAAATCTTCAGACATTTTTCCAAATACGAAAATCAATAAACCTAAGCTACATCACTTTGACTAAAATGTAGCCATAACAGATCATTGAAGTAATGTCTGTTTTTTAACTCATTATTTTTTAAATTAATCTAAATGAATGTGTTTAATTTGACAACATTTGACACCAAGCTGGGGTGGCAGCTCGGGTGGTCAGGCATTTTTGTAGGGGTGGCAGTTTCCGGCCCTCTAGATCCACCCCTTAGTTGCATTACACCTTTTGCCAGAGGGTGAAGAATAACAATATCAAATGAAGCTCTAGCAAAAGTTCAGTCAAGAAGACAACTCTTTTGCATGTAGTTAATGTCTGTCTCCATCCTGCATTCACTTCTCTCACGCATATTTTCCTTGCTATCATTATCAGGGACTGTCAATTGTCTAAGTGCCAAAGACTTTCTGTCAAGACTTAATCCTCTTATATCATGTTATAATAAACAGCTATCTTTACTTTATCTCTTCTGGTTGAAATGGCAGCTATTCAGTCGCAAAAACCTCTAAAATTTGCCTCAAGTTATCACATGATACCAAGAGTTTAAACTCTGAAATGTACAAGCTTTGATTGGTACTGTATCAAAACAACAGGGCAACAAAGAGGGTAAGATTAATTTCATGTTTTAGTTCCTAGTAAATCTTCAAAGTCAAAAAACCCTTAACCACTGTCTGCTCACTGATTTGTCACAAATACAAACCCCAGCCCACCAACAAAACAACACTAGGGAACCTCACACACTCACTGTTTTCTTTCAGTGGTAAATCTGGAATTCCCCAATCCTTTTGTATTTTAGCTGAAACTGATTACAGAAAAAAAAGATGGATGAAGTGAGAATAGGTTTGAAATGATGCATACAGGACTCAGAATATATCAGCCACAACATATGTTCAGAATATGTGTACAGAGCTTGTGGTTTGGCAAACATTTATTTATAATGGCAGCAGACATGAGACGCACACTCCACAAAATCCTACGGCTGTGCAGCCATGCAGGCAGTCTGCTGCCTAAAATGTGAAGAGGAAATGACATCATGTGCAGTGTGAGGTCTCCGCAGGACAACCGAGCTGCCCAACATGGCCACATTACTATGAAGAGTTAGACCATCGGTGCAAACATTGTCTTTTCAGTTAATTCTTAAATGAAACACTTTAAAACCATTATGTAAACAAGCTTTATTATACTGTTATACTGTTCCTTTTATGTAACAGGGGTACAAAGCATTCCTTGGGCTCTTTAATACTTTACTTTTAACATAAGCTTGTGAAAGTATACAAAACTACATCGCAACTGATGCTTTATCTTTAGGAATGTATCAAGTAGAATGAATTTCCTATTTGACGCAGGGATTTTAACTAAAAACATATATATGTATTAGGGTACCCATTAATACATGTCCAACGCATCACATAGCAATATGCAACATTACTGAGCATGTATAAGACTTTCTGTCTTACATTCTTTTATTTCTATAAAGTCTACAAAATTATTATTATACATTCAAAAATGCAATTCCTTTTTCAGTTAGTTAACATTTGCAACATCGTAGATATAGTTGACAAAAAAAATTGATATACTGATGGCAGTTTTGAAGTGAAGGTCAATGATCCTTTCCATGTGACCGTGAGCACCAAACAACCCCTCTGCCTCTGCTTTGGTACTAACTACTGTATATAGTCAGTTCAAACATGGTCTATGTCCAGTAGGCGGCGACAGAGTCCTATTCCCCCATCTGCTTCCTTTGTGTGGTCCTGACTTCCACCTCCATGCCAAGTATTTGAAAGCACATTAATGGTTTGTCCACGCGCTCGCTTAACACGAATCTTGTGTTTTTAAGTCCAAGAGCAATGATACTGAATGCTCAATCCAGGCAAAGATGACAAATGTTATTTTCACAGAACTGGCAAAGACACTGGCTGGTGTCACCATGTTTTTGTTGCTGTTCATCAGAATCCAGTCTAATCCGGCCTGGGTCAGCTCCAAGGGTCAGAGCGGTGCTTAAGGTTGTAGTTCTGGAGCTCGATCTGGTCTTTGATCTGGTTGATCAAAATCTGAGACAAGAGGATGCCAACCAGCTGCACAAGAGAAAGCACAAACAGAGGGCTCACCAGCTGGTTACATCTGCAAGTCTCTAGTCTTAAAAGGCTTAAGCACAATGTGTGTATTTGTGTGTGTTGGTATGAATATCCTACCTGTGGTATTGCCAGTCCCAGGGCGACGCCTCCCAGTAGGAACATGTTACTGTGGATCCAGTTCACCAGTTTGTCTATGCAGCCATTGGTGTGGATGTACTCTCCAGCTTTAATGTACTCTAAATCCTGCATGCCTTGTCCACACATGGTGTTGATAACCTCCTGCTCAAGTACATAAGACAAATAAATAAACAGGTAAAAAAAAACAAAAAACAAAACTAAACAACACAAAAAGGTATCAATAAGTCTTTTAAAGAGAGTGACCTTGTCTTTGGTTGGGATGCAGCAGGAGAAGGGGACAGAGCAGCGTTCTCTGCTGGGGTTGTCCTCTTTGCAGTTGAAATACATGTTCTGGGACCAGTCAGTGTACGTCACACCACCACAGCAGCCAAACTGGTGAGACAGACAGACAAACACGCGAGAGGGAAGAAATTAGAAGATATGTCAGGTATCTGTGTATTTAGCTACAAACATTTTGTTAAAGCTACTGTTGCCTTGGTATTTATACTGACAAAATGATGACCCACAGTGGGTATAGTATGAAGTCTGTATTTAGTCAAATCCTTACCTCTTTCTGACCAAAGTCAATGAGGTTTTGCAGATCAATGTCTTCTCTGTAGTGGATGATGGCATCACTGATCATCTCAGTCACTTTAGTCCGAGCCTTGGCAGAGTGTTGAAAAAAAGTACATTCAGGAGTATGTACGAAAATGCTTTTTCATCATACACAGAATGGTTATATGTTGTGTCATAAAAGTTTAAATGTTTCATGTTCACATTAGGTGAATTACTAAGAAAGACCAATTAACCAATTTACGTGACGTAAGTTTTTATCAACTAGGAGCAGTTACGATAAATATGATAATCCTGAAAAACTTTCTCTCTAAAGTTTTTCTAATTCTAATTTAACATCATAAATTCAACTTCTTCTTAAACAAACAAAATCACATCTGAAGCAAAACTGGCAGCAGTTACAGACAAAGCCCAGAAGAGGACAGTGTTTTGCCATCCTTCACAATAAGAAATGGACAAATGAAGCAAAGTCTAACCTAAGAAAGAGTTTATAAACAAATGTACAACCTTTTCAGCATTATTGACATGATTGACAGATGACTAGATATATATTCTAATAATACATATTTTGTAATGGTTGTAGATCTTATTTAGGATTTAGTTAAATCAATTAATCACCAGAACATTTAAAATCATTTAAAGCACAGTCACTGTAATAATAATGATATATATAAATAATTATAATATAAACACGTTATAATACCATTTGCATCTACGGAAGTTTTAAATAAGACACTTTTTAAAAACATTTCTAGCAAATACATTTATGCTTACATTATTTTGACAGAGAAAATCCCCCATATTGTTTGATTACCTTATCAGAGAAGATGAAGCCCAGGATCCCAGCAGCCAACTGGAGCAGGAAGATCACTGTCAGACAGATACAGAACTGTAGGGAGGAAAGAGAGATGGTTACACAGTAAAAAAAAAAAATCTGTTTTGGGTTAATTCTTTAGAAGACAGATTTCACAAGATCCTGCGTCTCCATGCAAACTTAGCTGTTACTTGTTATCTCTTCTACTCAGAGAAACTATACAGAAAAACACAAGAAACCTAAGAGCAGGGCCTTACAATAGAAAGACACTAATGGCTGAGTTTCTTATTTGATTACACTGCTTTTATGTTTTTTCATTATAAAACAGTTTTTTAAACTTGTAGTTTTCTGTATACAAGTGCAAATATTGTACACACAGGCACCAGCCCTGTTTTTATTGAGCTAAAACTAAAATACTATTAAGATGATCTGGCAGCTGATATTGACTGAGCTGGAATCTGACACCATTACCTCCACAGCATGCCATACAGCACGTCTCACAAAAATCTATCATTATAAAATACATTAAAAGCCTGGTCTGGTTAGAAAGCCCCTGACTTACTGTCTGCAGAAGGCAGATGTTTTCTCGCAGGGAGCCCACACAACCACAGAAGGTGATGATGAACATGAGGACCCCCACGACCATCAGCATTACAGCAGGGTCCACTGACAGACACGCCAGAGCTGCCTCTGTGAAGGAGAAGAGAAGAGGAGTTCAAAGACTGATGTGAAGAGAGCAACTGTGTTTGTTTTTAAATGACATAATTATTCCTCCCAAACAGTAGCAGGAAATATGGAATTGTGTTTTTAGATGTTTCTTGGTGAAAGCAGTGGAAGCACAAAGCCAAAGAGCAAAAGCACCATCCTAACACTCAATACTCCCCCCTGACTCACACTAAACATGAAGTAAGACTGTATGCTCTATCAGAGAAGGATCGTTTACCTGCATGTTTCATCATGCGGGCGTACACGCCGATTGACACCATCACCAGGGAGATTATCTGAAAACAGGAAGAAAAAAGATTTCTTACGTTTTTCTGAATAATTCCTGCATTTCAAAATATGAGGCATAATGAGTGGAAGCCAAAGACCACTGTATGTGATGTTCATACTTGTCCAGGGAGTGGCACCATTCACCAAAACACCTAATTAGTACATTTGAATCATAAAGGCTTTGCTGATAGAATAAAAGGTTATTTTCCAAAAAAGTCCATGCTTGTTTAGCCAAGTGGAATCAGTGTTGAACTGGGGAACCACAACATTTTCATTAGAAATGCAGATAAGGAGTTTCTGCCATCCACTCTGCTTTCAGTTGACTTAATCGACCTGGCAGCAGTCTGTACCTTTCCCTAAAAAAATAAAGACCCTTTCACTCAGCACTCCTCTCTCGGTCTCAATAGAATAATAGGGAGCCCTCAGAAACACTCTTCCCACCCCGAATGAAATGGATCCAGTTACCACAGACACTGCACCTTCTTGGGGTGGGAGGGTAAAGCTAGTCTGCCTCATTTTGTAAAGGTTTGGTTTCACAGTGAATAAACTAGACATGACACCTGAGGTAAACAGGTGGATTTTTTTTTTGCAATAATGTATGTTGTTGTTTAAGCCTGCAAGTCTAATGACATGTAACAGTTCTGTGAAATGTTATGCTCGATCTAAAACAAAATCCCTTCTGGCATTGGCATAACTGATTCACTTATTTGGTTAATCATCATTGTACCAACTCACCAGACAGCTTGTGACTAAGAGACGATATGGACATTTCCTGAGATTACAGACAATCGAGACAAGAAATGAACTGTGCATTTGCAGTAATATTTGGTGTGTTCTATACAGAGCCTGTGTAGCCTGAGGCAACAGAAACAGAAAACACATTCCACGTTGAGGAGCTTCAAGTTTTTACACAGCCTTATCCTGTTTGTACACGGCCAGAAGTCATGTTCACTACTGGAACGTGGCTTGCACACTCATACAGGTTTGTTTAACAAGATGAAAGCTGAAAATGTAAAATGGATAAAGATAAGCTATAAAGACTTCATGATTTCTCAAATGTTAGTATGTAAAAAAGCACTCCTGAAAACTGAAAACACCTGTACCACCTATTTTTTTCTCGACCAGAATCAAGAAAGTCTCCGCACACTCCACTAAACCCCAACAAGTTTAATCTGCAACAGCAGATCTGCTTTAAAATGTTTTGTAAGTCAGAAATCTCCTTATGTTGTTAAAGTCCCTGAGCACTGAAACCCACTGATATGAACTTTGGTTTGTTAACAACCAACCGCTGAGCTTTGCTGGTACTTTAAAGTGAATCCTTTACTTTTACACTGAAGCTGTGCAATTATTAACATCATATTGTGGAGACAAAATGCCAGTCAGACAGTACAACTAACAATACAATCAATGGAATCACCTGCTGTGTTCACCAGAGCTAGTTTGAAATACCACAGAACAAATCAAAGTTGGTGTTTCTTGGCAACTGAATATGTCATGAAAGAAACTAGCCTAAAATAATACCACAGCAGTTTTGTTTACTGAGTATAGGTGTGTTACGCATTGACCACAATATGTGTGGGCCAAACAGGTTCTGAGCTCAAAATCCCCTGGGACAAATTATGACAATACATTCCTGATTTGCAAAGTAAGAATAAAACTTGGTCACTGTAAAATGGCTGAGCAGCAAACACCTGGCCTGTGTGTGTGTGTGTTTGTGTGTGTGTGTGCGTGTGTGTGTCAGCTGTGTATGTTAACTTCCCTTCTCCTATTTCCTGGGTACAGTTTCACTTTTTGTAAAACCAGAAAGGTAATGAATAACTAAGTCAAATAAAGTGTGTGCTTCAACTCTCAGCAGACAAAATCTACATCTCACTCTTTTAGCTTAAACAGAAGTAGGAAACACAGTAAGTCTGACATTTGTAAACTGAAATCACTCTTATTTTAAATAGTTTAATACTAATCTTCCAGAGAACAAATCTGGCTTGCAAAGGCACAATGATCAACCTGCGCACAGAGAATGGTAAATAAAGGTCGCCACACTGAGAGATCTTTGAGACCTTTAAGTTTAACAACATAAAAAACACTCACCCAAAATATTAAATTAAATATGAAGAGTAGATATTTGACAACTGGACTGACAAAGGTGTAGTCCTCGTCATATCCTGATGCATCTTTGCGTCTTCCTCCCATGGCGACAAGTATCCAAGCGTACTATCCAAGTTTGCGCACAAATGAGCGTTTAGCTGTATCAATAAGAAAACGAGTTTCGGTAGGTGAAACTAACAACTCTGAGCTGCTGATTTCCTTCTAATGCAATCCCCCACGTACAGTCTCACAGTGAGGAGTCGCAGGGTGCCCGTCAGCGCTGGCTGGGCGTGAAGAAACAACTGGGTGTGTTACCATTGTATCTCACACCGAGGATCATATGATATAACCTGATAGAGCAGGGGGCTCCCGAATCCTCCTGAATGTAAAAGAAAGGTCACATGACTGACCCAGTTATCTTAACCAAAAGAAGAAACAGTTTGGTACTTTTTTTTATAATGAAGTGAAAGAGTTGGGCTTTTTTTGGGTACTTTCCTTTACTACGTTCTTCCCCCATTAAAGTGCAATACTAAACTACTGTTTACTTCAAGCTAAATGGATGTACTTTAGTCTACTCATTAAAAGTGTTTATTTTGAGTCTAGACACTGGTAAATGAATAGATGAGCCCGTTCATGATGAATGTAAAATTAGTTTATGCGGAACTACTTTTGGTTTATTATTATCAGTGATTTATTACCTATTATATCCTAATATTGTATGACATATCACATGTTTCTGGTTTATTTTTAGACATGAATAGTTTTAATACCATATCATAAAATATTATACGCCCTTTTTACAGCGGTAATTTGTAACAGATGTTACTAATAACATGAATGATGGTTGAGTTCCTTTAAGTGTGACAGTAAAGCATTACAGTGAGCCAGCAGTCACAATACCAGCACCCTGAAGGTGAGGAGCTAAATTAAAATCAGCCATCATTAATTTTATAATTTAGACCTATAATTAATTCATCTTAGGAAGTCGGAGAATTTCCTCAGCAGAAGGAACACTTGATGCTTCAGTTTCTCAGAAAAATATTCATTAAAGATTCACCAACTTTGGATTTACATGATTTCCCTGTACAGAAAAAGGTAACTAGAAACCAAAGCTTACAGAAAAATAGTTAAGTAAAAAGTACAATATTTGCCTCTGAGATGGAGTAAAAGTACATAAAGTTACATTAAGTGAAAATACTCAAGTAAAGTTAAAAAATACCTTGAATAAGTCCAGTATTTTAGTAAATTGTTTGTTACATTCCACCACTGTAAATTGTGCATTTTACAGTGGTTAATCTATCACTACTCCGTTTGGCTGATTAACATCCATTACATGCACAATGATTTTTAACAAAGCATTTAAAAATCCCCCAAAGCATCAAAAAAGATAGGACTTTGTTGCATGGCTGCTGTATTTATGTTGCATTATATGAATTGTTTAGCAGTACAAATGAATAAATGAAAGGGTAAAAGATCCATGATAGCACAAAAACAAATGTGCGCCATCTACTGGCAACATGTACTATTTCCCAGCATGCACACGCAGCCACCTGTTTGTGACTAATTTGCCTCCTCTCCTCTCTTATTAATTTTTTTGATAGTTTCGTTTATTATTACATCACAACGACACATTTATTTTGAATAGAACAGAATTGGACGTCCCAGCTTTTATTTTGAAGGAATACGCAAACAGCAAGACCGTATTCATAACATCCGTTTTACTCGGAAGTTGTGAATGTGTTTCCCTGCTCTGTAAAATGTATGCTGAAGGGGTATTTTGTTCATTGTTTAGACGTTTTTAAACCAAGGAATGGCGTGGAGAAGCAAAGGTTTGTGTAATTATGTATGTAGGTGTCTGTTAGTGGTCGCAGTCGGTCATTTTTAGAGTTACTAATGTGTTTAGGCTCACGTTAGCTTGCTAATGCTGAATACAGTTGTGGTCAAGTAGCTTCTAAATGATTATAGGAGCCTCTGTGGACAAAATGTACTTTATTCATTCATTCGAGTACGCTTGTCTCAAATGTCCTCTCCAGGCCCCCCTCTTCCCCCGGCCTCCTTACATCTCCTCGTCCCTCCAGTGAGACTTATGTCTGCTTTCATATGGCAAGTAGTACAGCAGCACAGTGTGATGCAGTATGACAAACTGGTGGACTTCATCAGTTTGGCGACAGAGATCGTCCCAGAGCTCCTGAGTCCCAATCAGAGAGCTCAGCTCATCCTGGGCCTGAGAGCGAGGGTGAGGAACTACTCTTTGTCAGCCTTATTAAATGTGTGTGTCAGTGATGCCAAGATGGTACTGTTTGTTACTCGTTTCCCTCAGTGGCTCCACAAGAGACGCATTTTACTTGTTTATTTTTTTCCTACCTTCGCCATGTGCATATATGTAGTCTTGAAGTTTTCCTGTGGGTTTTGAATTGCTAGATACACAGATGAGCCATAACATTATGAGCACCTGGGCACCCTGCTGCTCATGTTTTGGAGATGCTCTGACCCAGTGGTCTAGCCATCTCAATTTGGCCCTTGGCAAAGTCGCTCAAGTCCTCAGTGCCATGATAACCAGATAATCGGTGTTACTCACTTTACTTGTCAGGGCTCATAATGGGTGATCGGTGTATTTTACCCCACAAAAACAACATTTCTGGTCCACTCACACTACAGCTTTTAGTCAAATATGATTATCAACTATCAAGAATTAATTTTTAGCCAGCATGGAGTCCTTAAAGTGCAGTTGGACATTGGCATTTTTGTGTTTCACATTCACTGTAGTATTTATCATTTCATGATTGTGAAAATAATTACTTGTGAGGAAAGATATTCCTATTTCCTCATTTTTTACTTTGCTGTTGGTGTGTATCTTGTTTGTCTTTTAACAAACTATCATACTATTGCTCTGTTTCTCATAATCTTGTCCCTGCTGTGTCGTGCTCTTTTGAGTTACCTGTCTCCCACCTTTGCCCCACTGCAGCTGGTTCTGGAGCTGTGTCGTGGTGATGGCGTCGCCAACCTGCAGACCATCCAGAGCCACCTGGATAAAATCCACGCCTGCAGTGCTGAACTGAGCACCACTGACCAAATGGTTGGATTTTAAAGAATATTCAGAGCTGCTCCATAAACCCACCATGGATAACGCACACATTTAGAAATCCAGGACATTCCCATAGTCACAGATATGGAGTTCTGTAATGCCATTACTGTTTTTGAATACAAACTGAAGGTAAACACAGTAGTGGAAACCTCTAACCCAACAACTTTATTGTTGTTTACTTCGTGACAGGCCAGTGTTGATATACTGAAGACCTCTTACACCAACTTTGCCAGCCTGGTTCAGAATCTTTTGAATGTTCCTTTTGAAAAGGAGATCTTCTTCCAAGTGAGTGTATCTGTGGGAAATACATATCTCTTAAAGATCTTCATCAACCATTTATAGCGGCAATGTGTTGATAATTTAAATCCAAAGCTCTGGCTGTTTCTGTAGGAGGTTTTTCCTGCAAACTACGGCTCTAACTATGACCAAAGACTGCAGCAGCTGGTGTCTGAGTTCCTGTCCAGGCTGGAGCAGCTGCTGCCCATACCAGATCTGCAACAGGTACTGTCTGACACCAAACTCATTGACACCTGTTACATTCAGCAAAACAACTCGCACTGTTACAGTATTAATCCTAAATAAAAAGCATGTATCTTTTGAGTATAACAGGTATTGTAAATGAAATAACATTTTTCACTGAGGCCAACTTCTATCCTTTGAAAATAAAAATAAAAAAGTGACCGAGCTGCTCTGCAATTTTTGTCATCCAGGGAAGATGCATTTGGGGGATGTTGAAGGCATACTTAAAATAGTTAGCAAAGGCTGTAGCGAATAACCAAACCCTTCTAATGGGCTAGTAACAACGTATTTACACGAATTGTGCAGCCACATTGATTCTTGTTTTTCAGTTTAAAATGTATGAAATCAGAAGTTCACTGTGTTATTTCTCAACTAAAATAAAGATAATTTTGAGCCACAACATCAAACATTGTCACTGGATTTTCGTCTGTTTGTGTTTTTGCTCTGGATGGTGTTGTTTCACTTGCCAACCTGCATCTCTGTCTTCTTCTTTGTGTGTGTCAGACAGCAGCATGGCTCACTGAAACAACATCGGTGTCAGAAGAATTTGGACAGCATCAGTCTGAACCCTTTGCTCTTAAGACTCTGCTGCTTCATCACAAACAGTTGGGGACTCTCAGCTCTGGTAAGTTTAACAGAAAAGACACGAGGAACAGAGTTCTGTAAGTAGTTTCCATCTGTGTAAAAGATCAAGGTGTGAAAAGGCTCTGTTTTCTTGTTTCCTCGCTGCTGTCTTGCTCATTTTGTGACAATCTTGTCTTGTTCCTCGCTTCCTCTACTACAAGCTCATTCCAGCAGGGAGGAAGATATCCTTTTGTCCACCCTGGCCCTCCCTGTCCAAACAGTTGAGAGGTTCACTGAGGCTTACAGTGAGGAAGATGATTATGACAATGAGGAAGAGACCCTTTCATTGGAAGATTTAGAAGAAGATTCAAGTCAAAGCTCAGACATCGCTGCAAAGGAGTGGTTGCCAAAAAGGGAATCAGGTTAGACAAAATCAGCTGCAGTAGCAGACCAGGATTGGTCGAGAATCGGTCAATTTTATTTTACTAACTCGTTTGTCAATCTGTTTCCAGGTCGTCTGTCTCGTTTATTCATCTGTCCCCAGTGTTCATTCGCTCACCGCATAAAGAGGAAGGTCCAAGAGCACATCCAGAGTGAGCACGTAACAGCTCCCATTCAGAAAAAACTAGCTGTGAAAAAGGCCAGCCAACAGAAGACTAAAGACTTGAACGCCAAAAAGAAGAAAGTAGGAGGCAACTCGGAGAAAAAGAGGACACGCAAACAAAAAGACGGTGTTGAAAAAAAGCAAGAACTTAAGCAGAAGGACAATTTGGAAAACAAGGAACGACGTACACGCAAAGAGCCTACGGGGGAAGACAAAAGGTTTCTGAGCACACGAGTTGTGGACAAAAACTTCACGGAAGAAGAAACCAAATGTCCTAAGTGTGAAAAGGTTTTTGAACATCCAAATCAACTGAAGACTCACATTAAGCTCCACGGCTATGCGTACCACTGCAGCCAATGTGAAAAGGGATTCACCAGCTCGTCAGGTTATTACCAGCACCAGAGACTCCACAAGAGAGGACGGATCTTCATCTGCAGCCAGTGCAACAAGGGATTCCTGTGCAACTATTCGCTCAAGCAGCATGAACGCCTGCATGAAGGCCCCACCAACCTGTGCATGATATGCGGGAAAGGCTTCAGCAAAGCAGGCATCGCAAGGCACATGCAGATGCACAGAGGGGAGAAGAATTACTTGTGCACCATGTGTGGAAAGTCATTTTTGTCCTCCGGGGAGCTGCTGCTGCACACTCGTTCTCACACGGGCGAGATGCCGTACACCTGCACCCACTGCGGGAAGGGCTTCTCCAGCAAGAGTCACCTAAACGTGCACACGCGCTCGCACACAGGGGAGCGACCGTACCTGTGCTCAGAGTGCCCGAAGCGTTTCCTCACACTGAACTGTCTGAAGAGACACATGCTCAGCCACAATGGAGTGAAACCGTTTAAGTGTCCAAACTGTGACAGAGAGTTCTCCCAGCAGGGGAATCTGAAAAGACACTTGGCAACTCACAAACCTGACACGTAATGTGGCGCTTTCAGTGCTGTTGTTTCACCTTGTCTTTTTAAAACCTGTCTAAAACCAAAATTAACTTTATTTGTACCAAGGCAAATTAAAAGTCATTACTCTTGAGGATGGCAGTTATTTAATGTGTACTCACCAGCAAAAACTGGAAAGTAAAGTATTCAAAGTTCCTGTTATCTGCTTCATTATATACGGTTACCAAAGTAGTGCATTCTAGCAGCTGTACACAATCACCAATACTGACTGTCATTATTTTGTTTTTTGGCTCCTATTTTGTGTCACGTTGTTGCTTTTCTCTCCCAATTCTGCACCCAACTTTGTCAGAGAATCATCATCATTTTAAACTGAGCAAAATGACTGTAAGTTACCTAACACACAGCTGAAAAGCTGTGACACCTCAAAGGTTACCTCAAAGAGCTATCTATAAGAGGATTTTTATGTCCTGAAATGTAATGTGTTAGTAGTACAGTTAAATACACTAAATACCCCAATGATCCTGTGAACAGTAATTGTGCGATATCAGAATATCATACTTTATGTCTATAATTTATATGTATGAGGTGAGCATAAACTGGTAACACATCATTTACATTGTGCTATTTGAGTATAAATACAAACAATTGTCTGTTATATCTCAACTGTTACCTGTGGCACCTTTTGTTTGACTAATTCATCATTGATCCACAATTAGTGAACCTTTGGATTCCTCGAATACATGTTTGAGAGTTTATGTCCAAATTTTAATATATATACATTATATATTAATGTTTTTAACCATTAAACAAGGTTTTATGGACAATCTCAGGAGAACATACAAATTAAATCAGCCTTACAGAAACATATAGAAAGGTACACAGTATGATTATGATGTTTAGGGTGGATTTTCTCCTGGAAGCGCAGTGAAGCACACCTTTATGTAAACCGGTCTAACAAACTACAATTGGCAAATACAATTATTTATTTTAGTAGATACAGTAATTAACTAAAAAATTAAATGTATCACCATTGGTCTACCAAGATGAAATGAGAGGATAAAGACCTGAAATGCAACCGATAAAGGGAATTGAAAAACACAGCTGTAGGAAATGCAATTTATTTGCAATTTTTTAATAACATCATTCCTCAGATAAAAATGCAATGTTACAGGAATATACATCAGATATTAATTTAAAACTTGCTTTCAAGGGACCATACAGTCTAAATATACTTTTTCCTTTTTTTATTTACTGGTAGCGTGCGTTATAAGCAAGACAGACTCTGTCACCAATGACAGACTGACAAGTTACAGATACAAACTGTACATTACTTATTTACAAATCAACTTTTTGTTTGGTTTTTCGTTTCACTTTTTATTGAAAATAGGAGTAGAAAAAGTGATTGAATTAATATTCTGATTTATTTGATTTGTATTCTTTCCCTTTCTAAAATCTAAAATGAATGAAAAAAAATCAAGAACTCTCCTTTAGAAAAAAGAAAGAGAAGCAGAAGAAGAAGAAAAAAGGGTGTGTCCACTGTGAGACCATGCAGTCGTCACCGAGGAGACGAATGGTAACTGAGGAAACCAAATGATGTTGGGCCAGTGTCACTTAGCAACCTCAGAACCAATGAAATCCCTCGCAGGGATGTTAAAAGAACTCAGATACAAAATGGCCACCTGCCTCCAAAGCTACCGCAAGTACAATAACACACTCTAGTTCATTTTTTTGACCATAAATAGTGCTGTTATTAAATACTACGTTTAACAGTAGCGTCACTACTAATATTACAACAAATTGGTCTCTGTGTGAACACCTCTCTCCGTACAAAATAAACTTGAGGATTAACAACAGATTTCTCTCCGACAAACAAAAACAAACAAACAGCTCAATCCTGGCATAGGCCCTTTAACACTTTGCATGAGTAGTGAACTAAGACTATGAATGAGATCATAAGACACTACTGACCAGTGGAGAACAGAGCCGCACAGCCCTGCTGGCATTTACCCAGTAAATTAGGGACAGAAAAGCTTTTTGTTGAACACTACTGTATATGGAGCCGTGGATCCCCTGCCATTGATATTGTCAGGCTGGCAAAAGGCCTGGATAAAAAGATTTTTGTTAACGCCTGCATGCTGTTAAAGAGGCGTTTCCACACCAGCAAGAAATAGCTCACAGAAGAAAACACTGATAATGTACACGACACTGCCGATGCTCTCAGATGGGCCAAGTCATTCATTAAAGCTGCTTTTACACACACACAGGCATACAAGACCTGTTTGTTTCTAACTCTTTTGTGGTTAAATGTGTCTTTTTTGGCGAGACGAAACCACTTGGAATCATGGTTTGGAGCGATCCTATGTGTCTGCGAAGAGGTCAAATCAGATCTTTTATGTCTGTGGTGATCAAAACTGAGGCAGCTGGCTGAAGCTTCCAATACTTTCTTCCATTAAGGGCTTCTAAAAAAAGGAATATATCCAAACATAAACCAGTAACCGAAATCCAACTTTCAAACACTAAATGTGTTTTTTTCAGATATGTATGAGCATTACTGCGTCCTACATTCAAGGGATGAAATCATTATCATTCATGGTGCAACGTTAAGTAGCTCTTATCAGTGAAATAAGAGAGAGAAGTAGCAGGTGCAGAACCATTTATGGTTTCACTGCACCGTAAAGCTGCTGCCACTCCTCTAGAGCTGAGAGTTGTTAGCTGAAGTAATATCTTGAAGAAAGTCACTGTTAGAAACACTAGCTGGTACAGAAAACTCCTCTCCTCAATCAACAGGCTGTGGGTGCAGCGTTCTCCAAAAAAAGTGAAACACAAAGAGCAATCTCTGTGTCAGATACTCCAACATGTGCAAACAGGGATATCCTTTATGATCTATTATTAATTTAAGTGTACGAATAACAGTAAGAGAAGGAATGAGTGATAAACACAAGGCTTTCGAGGTACTTACAATACTAACAGTCATCCTAAATGTTCACATATGGGTGCTGCTGTAGGTGCTGCTACACAATGGGTAAGTTATATCTTAACTATCCTATGTTATCTCTACATCTATCGGACAAGCAAATATCATTTATTTGGCTAATGGTTAGGGCTCTCCAGCCCCGGGAAAAAGGATGAGGGTTGTAAATAATTCATATTTTTTGTTCCTCACCACATGCGTCTGTGAGTGTTTGAGTGTCACTATGAGCCAGTGCAGCAGAGGGTTAAGATTTTTTCAATACTGATTATGGTTTTAAAACTTTGTGACACCAGAATAAGTTTTCCTGCAAAATGAATTATTACAAATTTATTAAAATTTTGCAAGCTGTAAATTGAATGTGTGCAAACAAAAAGTTCTTTTAAACATAAACTCCCAGACTGGTGCCTAATTTCTTGACAATTAATCAAGATTATAATTAGTCCTTCAGATGTCTAAATATGTACCTATATAATGTGTAATTCCATTGCATGTACTTTGTTTCTCCCTATAATCCTACTTTTGCACTGGCAACAAAGAGACAAAGAATAATTTTCACACAAAGGAAACTTATCGATAATGATTTGTAAATGCAAACATTCAGCTGATGGTAAAGCCATTAAAACATTTGTCCTGTCAGTCCGATATATAGAAAATGCCAGTATGTTGAGTTTAACAGTGGGCATTTTCCTTCAATTTCTTTTCTTTTGATTCATCAAACTTTCATTCAATATTTTATAATTTAGATATAGTTTTCTATATATATATATATATAATATCTAAAATAGAAGACACTTGCACTATAAACTTGTATTTTATAATATATTCCTTCTTTCACTTTCTGTTCCATTTCCTAAAGCGTTCATCAGCATTGGTGTCAAAAAAACATTTGTACAACAGACAAACAAAGAGACAATCCTCTCTTGTTTCTCTAGAGAAGGAAATTCATATTTTAATTGGATTTAATTTGATAAATTAGACTCCTACAACAGGCTATGCTGATTTTTACCTTGGAAAAAAAGGAAAATAAAAATCTATATTCAAAATAGTCCTCTTAAAATAGTTTTGTCTGGATCAAACAATGATCAACAAACACTTCTGTTTACTAGAAAATATATCTGAAGGTAGATCCACATGAGGAAATCTGAATGACCAAGATCGGAGAAATAACTTGACTCCTGCTTTTCAGCCTCGCTCTCTGATACGTAACACACGTCTGTGTGCAGTTTAGGATTTACACACAACTCTAATTCTTCTTTAAATGGTATATGTGTGTAAAGTACTATTTTTGTCAAAACATGTTGGATGACATCTTAAATATATACAACAGCTCTTCCACATAAACAAAGCATGTGGGGGGGGGGTATCGCCGTCACTGTCAAGATGCAGAATATAAATTCAACATTTTTAGATGCCACAAAAAAAACGGACATAATGTCTCTTTCAGCCTAAATCCAACAAGTAATTTTACTCACTGCTGCATAAACACACAAAACTATGGGTGTAATAATTTAGGGGTTCAGATGTAGTTCAAGTCCCCTAATTTTCTTCATTGGAAGAAAACAAATTGAAGCTACATGATTGTAATAGCTCAAAGCATAGAGAGATCTAGTCCTTAATAGGTGGATTTTTTTTGGTTAGATGTCTTTAATAGCTTAAAGAAAGCATTTGAGTTTACAGTGTATATATGTATGTGTGTGTCGCTGATGTAAGACTAGTGAAAGAGAGAAGGATCTCTCGTGCTACAGTAGGAAAAATGTCCAGACTTTTACCTGCACTGACAGGTTGCTGGTCGGTTAATGTCTTTCAGAACACTTCACGCAAAACGGACAAACACATAAGCAAACGCGTTTTAGATTTCAGATCTCTCTGTTGCTTAAAGTAGGTGTCAAATTATTTGGCAGCATTAATTTCTATACTTTAGGGTCCTTAAAAGCTGAACAAAGAGCCTCCACAGCCACAGCACTGGTAATGGATTTACTTACCTGTATTTAAGAAAATTCAAATTGTGAAGTAGCCTTTCTGTTGTGTGTGTTCTGCAGCTAATCATATTTAAATAGAGTCATATTTGAGTCAAGGACTGAAACGCCACATCGTCTGGGAATCATCCAAGCCCATTGTGTATATGCCATCAGCTTAAACATACAATATTTCTTCTTCAGTAAATATAACTACATTATTCCCTGCTGGTTCCTTTTGGTCAAAAATACAGTCAATAAAGCGGGACTTTGTTCAATAAATTCATACTGACAGTCAGTAGGCCTATATAACACATTTTCATGACCAGTATTTCAATAACTACATTCCCAAATAAGTGTTCTGCCCTTTCCTTACTCTAACATTCTGGTGATTAAATATTATATATTCATATATATCTTTGCTATAGTATGGTATACGGTATATAAAAATATACAATCATTGGCTAGTGGTGAGACAAAAGATATTATCATTCACATAGGACCAATACTTTATATCCCTAGAGAGAGAAACCCATGCACATCACATAAAACATTACTTGGATATATAATTCACCATGTCAGAACTTAAGACCACCCTGAAATTCAAACATGATGAAATAAAACAATACTAAAAATACTCTTCATCCAATATTCTTACTCAGACCAAACACTCACTGCTTCCCATTGTTATCATCCATCAACACTAGATTGTCATCCGGCCTTTATTCTCTCTATCCTTGCTTTCGCTTGAAGAAATCACTTGAATTTGAAGTGCACCCTTTACGGCAGAGGGGTGTGGTTGTACTCTAGCTAGCTGAAGGTGGACATCCAGCAGGCACAGCTGCAGTCTACTAACTATCTACAGCAAACAGACCTGGCTCATGGTGGACAATGTGATTTGCAGCTGTTGAAAAGGACTGTTCCAAATCCATACTACACACTACCTGTATACTAAATCCCATCTGTATGTGTTTGCAGTTGGTATAAGAAATCAGCATATTTAATACTTTAAACATTTTATACTAACAGGAAATTATGCAATACACGACTGTCTAATGTCAATTAAACTGTGATTTTAAAATAATAGAAGAGAGTATTTTATTTGTCAACTTTCTGGAACTGTCATACCGCCATTCGTTTTTTAAAGGGACACACATACACAATGCCCGTTAACTTGTTATAAACCTGTGAAAAGAGTTCTATAATGTCTTCTGTGACTCCGGAGGATCAATTTCTACTCTTCTTTTATTATGTTTCCCCCAATTTTATTCAATGTCAATACTAAAAACAGCTAGGATGGACCCCTTTCATTTTTACATTTCCTTTGTGAATTACATTGAAGGACAGTGGAGTCCACTATGCATACTGAATGAGTATGCCTAATAGTCTCACTTTAGTGTGAACACATTAAATGCACCTGCTCAGAATTAGTGTGTGGTATAGAATTGGGAAACAGCTTCAGGTTAACCTGTGGATTTAAAGTTTTGTCTGCTTGTATATTGTTCACTTTGTGCTTGAATATAGCAAGTAAGCAATAACATGTGTATGCTGCTGTGTGTTTAGCTGTCTAATATTATTCACCAATAGCTTTTTGTAAAAGAAACTACTAATTGTGGGTAATTATTTGGTCCATTTCATAAAGATTATTCCCACCGGTCCATCTTCCACATGTCAGACGAGTCAAAAGATAGAAGCTGAAGACAGAGACTCTGGAAACATGTAGGTAAAGAAGTAGCGACGCCTGTCTAAGCTGGGGAGTACAAATACTTTAGTTTGCTTTTTCTCTCAATTCATCAACAATCATATAAACACGAGCTCTGTCCTTCTCAGGGATAAGAATCAGAAGATTAACTAAGAGCCCATAAGACACAAGATATGCAAAATCACCTTCCAAATACCCCTCCACTGCTGTCCACAGTCAGATGTTTATCTAAAGAAGAAATACTGACTTTAATCATATGTACACTAAATAGAAATAGCTACTCTGTCATAATGTGATATGATACTTAACCTGATAGAAACAAAACGACTGCAAAACCTGGCACGCTCAATGTCAACATGTGAACCTCATGCAATACTGATGGTACACCCACGTAGCTCAATCCATTTAAAAACTAACTGGAATTAAACGAGAGAAAAGGGATACAGTCAAAAACATATTAAGTCAGGGAGGTGAAGTGAGTTGTTTTTGCTGCTGAATCATCAAAATAAATCTTCAGCTGTTCATTCCGGGTTTCTGTTGATGTCATGGATGTCAAACCACAAGCAAAAACACCAATTTCACATCACTGTATCAACACACATTTTTGACTGCAGATGCAGATCCAACACCCTGGCACGAGAAAGATAAATAAATACATCTTTACTATACTGCACTGCAATGTACCTGATTTCAAGTATGTTAGGTTTCTCTGGCATGGAAACCACTGAGTTTACTTAAAAATGTAACAAACGGAAGAAAAAAAAATACATTGTCATGATATTGATTTTTTTTTCACTTTTACAAGTATATTTACTTCGGGAACCTTGTATACAGTCATAGTTATTGCATTGTTTTTGCATATCTTGTGGGATGCAGGATTACACCCACTCATACCATATACTGCAACACAACACCTCATAGTTCATGCTAACCTATACAGAACATAAAACTGGAATGCTGCTCCACTCCACACGGGGACACCACAGGCCTCTGAATCTCTCTCACCTGCATTTAAACACAAAGAGCCTTTAAACAGACACAAAAAAGCCTGGTGTGGCACGTATGATATGCAGGGTTACTCTATAGAAGAATGTGTTTCTATAGTATGTAAATGAAGATTTATTAGGAACACAAAAGTAAAAGGATTTGAAGTGAATGTAGTTTCTATGTGCATGTATGGATGATATGATCTTTTATCCTCAAAGCTGGAGGTGATGCTGAACATGTATGAATGTATTTAGGATTATTAATCTTAAGGCTATGGTTGTAAATGATAAAACAAAATATACAGGTTGTGGAAACATTCCCATCCTAATTTCAACTGGGTGAGGTCTGACAACGGTTCTGTATTGGATAATTCATTGATTTGTTAAAGTGACATGGTCATTACATGGTGTCTTATCAAAACTGTCTTGAGATAGAGACATTCATAGCTGTTGCTATAGTGGCTGATAAAATTGTTGTTAGGAAGCAGACACGCTTGCTCCTCTGTAGCAGCTTGGATACAAAATCTACTACTTTACACTTCAGGTGCCTGCTGGTTACATTTATTATTGAGGATTTAGACCTAATAAGCCATTGGTTTATCAGGTAAATTAGCAAAAATAACCAGGAAGAGAACTCATTTAAATTCAGGCTTAAATAAACTTTGCCAGGGCTGATCCAACCCAAGTGTGGAAACAAAAAGCCAAGCACAAAGTGAGACTGTGTGAACTTTAAAGTTAAAACACTAAACCCAGATGCTTCCTTGCACACACTAATATGCTTGACTATACCTAAATCTGCCTTCCTCACTTTTAGACTTGAAGTTTGACCAAAAAAAAAAAGCAGCTTATACTGAAACTGAGCCACTAGCCGCAAAGTAGCTTATTAGCTTATGATACCAAGTTAATTCGATAAAGAACAATTTTAGTGAGGTGCTTTTAGAAAAACTGAAGGAAAGAAAGAAATGATGGAGAGATATTTCACGAAGCCAAAGGATCCTGGATATGAAAAAAAACAACAACAACAGATTAAATGTCAGGGAGGGTATTTCCTTTGACAACACAGACTTCTTCAGGGTTCGCAGTATGATCATAACCACAAAACAACAATAGCACTGCCGCTAAAAACACGTTCAACATTCACATTTAGTTTGCATAATAATGTCAGAAGTCTGTTACTGGCACAGGATGCAGTGTATGGCAGTGTGTTCATGCATACCCTTCCCTGCCACAAACCTGCTCTGCTTAACATGTAGGAATGAGAGCTCAGCAGGTAGTCCTTAATGGGAAATGAAAGTGAAAACTAATGGCTATAAGTCGATGTAATAGTGTCTCTGGGTAGGACTTCAGTGTCTTTTCAAAGTGACATTTTTAGAGATAATTTATAGAATTTATCTTTTGAAAGTGTTTCTTGAATTGTCCTAGGCTACTTCAACATATTTGGATTTGTTAAGGCTAATAAAAGAGTTCAAAAGTGCTGTTTTTAATCCTATAACCTTAACATAAAATTATTACTGAGATGGATCTGCATGTTAGCACTGGTTTGGTAAGATAAGACTTTCATTACTATCCTAATGTCTAGCTGAGTTTGCGTCCGGATTGTGGTGGTAACAACAATTGTCTTTCCAAATTTTCAGTGGTTAGCATAATTTGTAACTTAACATTTCAGAAAGCTGAATCATTCAGCTCTAAATACTATAAAGTAGTTTAATGAATGTGACAGTTGGTACCAAGGATGTGATACTGACATTAGGAATGTTTTTTTTTTTGGAGAAGATACAATAGCAAAGAGAGACATGTGCCCTGTGTAATGTACTATGGCCTGAGGTCCATACCTGTGCCATAATAGAGAAAGTTCAATAAAAAGTTGTCCGCATGCTACCTAAAATCTGTTACAAAAAAATTAAAAGACAAAAATTACACCAGGGGATCATCCAGGATGCAACTTCCCTCCAAACTGACAGTTTTCTGATTCGTATCCAATAATGTATCACGGTAACCAAACAATTATCACATCTTATCAATTACCAGTAAATTTGTAGTATAATTTTTTCAGTACTTAATTTTTTACCAGTAAATGATATTACAGACAAGGAATTGTTTTATTTCTAACAATGACAATAAATCATAAGGTTTTGTGATATGAGCAGACCTGAAGTCTTGCAGCATCTGTACACCAGCCCTAATAGTTCATTTGGAGTTTAAACTACGATTAAATGGTGAACTCACATGATTACGGTGTGTTACAGCCGAGCGATCAGAGCGTCACCCCCCCCCTCCCCAGTTCATTCACGAAGCGTCACTGTGGCAGTATGAATTTGGTGCTTCTACCATTCAGAGCAACCATCCACCATAAAGAAGAAATGCAGCAATTGCCAAAAGGCTCGTTACCTTGTGGCCAAGCTGCAATGCCGAAACTCATCACCGCTGTAAACGTAACCGTCACTCTGACCTCGCTGGAGACCTTACGCCTAACTACCTCTAAAAACAGAAAAATTAAAGGAAAATTATGTGATGACTAATTTTTTTAAGATTGAGAGTGGTTTCTGACTCTGCAGCTCGGCTAAAAAGTAAAAACCGTGCTAAAGAAATCACAAAGCTTTGGAAGCATGCCTGTCCATGGTAACCCTGTGTTAAGGAGGCCCATTATCACACACACACACGCACACACACACCCTCGCACGCACGCACACACACACACACACACACACACAAACACAAACAATACCATACTTGTAATGCTACCTTAATTTACTGTCTAGGCTTAAAATCAGCTTTTTAGAATACATAAGTAACCACTCGAACACAGGCACGCACGCACATACAAACGTACATCCTCACACTCATTTTTTTCTCTTCTGGGAAAAATAAATAAATAAATAGATACAATCTGTAAAAGGTGCATACTGATAGAGAGAAAGACCCCCCTTTTAGATACACACTATCTCACACATTCGTACACACATACATCCTGTACTAAAACGCAGACACACACCCGCACGCACAAATATAGTTATACACTCGCACGCAAACACTACGCCCTGCTTCGATACTTAAAACCTCTTAAAATTCTCCTAAAATAAACCGAGCAAAAATACATTTATAAGACCAGCACCCCGATTGTGCAAACAAATCAAGGATAAATTAAACCAATAACATCATGAATATAAAACAAAATAGTCATGGCTAGCCAGTTTTGCACAATATTGAACTGTTAAATACATAGTGGGCGTGGTCTGTAGAGAGAGTGTGTGGCAGCAAATCCAATAGGATTCCACGCTGAGAGGAAGAGGAGGGTTTTGGAGAAGGAAGTGAGGTTGATTGACGGACAGATCCTCTGTAGATCCATGCCCAGAGTCTGTTTTCATTTCAATCGGTCACTCCCATTCTCTCCTCCACCCTCCATCTCTGTTGCCCTGTTCGACACACTCACCTCCCGAGGGCTGAAAAAGCAAAAACCCAGCGATGGAGGGAGACGGATGGTGGAATAACCAAAGAGGAGGGAGGAAGGAGAGAGGGAGGAGTGAGGAACGGCGAGGTATGAGGCAGAAAAGGGGGGCTCGCTGTCTCTGCTTAGCCACCAAATGCTCCTCCCATTTCCTGTTTGGGGCAGAAAGTGGGTGTGGCCAAAAGAGGAAAAGCGGCAGAGGAGGCGAAGCCAGATAAAGGTGACGAGGCGAGTTTGTCTCTCGCTGGCATCTTATTGACCAGCGGATAAAAGAGCTGGCTAGCTTCCTGTGGGCCAGAGAGTGTCTCTCTCTGCCCGTGGCCCCCTACAGCAGGCATGTTGTGGCTGTTGGTCCATCCCTCAAATCCTTCCCCCCCTTTGGCTGGGGGTGGCGTGTCACCTTAATCCGACCCCCAGGCTGGCAGGGCTGTGCTCCAAGGTTCCTTAGCTTTGGAAGAGGAAGAGAATTTCAAACAGGGTTTTCCTCACCCCCGTTTACTCAATACAGCGCTTCATCATCAGTGAACCAAGAAGGAGGAGTTGACCTTTGACCTCAAGTGGGTGTGGTCAGATTTGAATCCTTAACTGACCCCCTCCACAAGCTGGTCTGCTGTCCCCTACCTGGCTTCATGGCGGCCAGACAAACAACAATAACACAACACCAAAGTAGGCAGAGGAAATGAAAACAATAAACACACTATGTCAGCTGCAGGAAATCCATAAAAGGACTTGCTTCTGTTGTTTCCTTTCTACAGTTCCTCCATTCCTACTTTCCCCTCACTTTTTTTTGCTTGTCTCTACTTTTCAGCTCTTCACACTTTGAGGACATGATAAAACTGTGAGGCACTTTAGAGACACACTCAGACACGTGTGGAGAACACACGCACTCACGTACACGTACAAATAGAGAAAATCATAGATCACACGCAAACACACAAGCATACACTCAGATAGTATAGAGTATAGTGTGGTATACTTTACTACAAATACTCACACACATACAAACTCATATAAACAAACATAGTCATAACCAGGTGTTTAAGGTTGCGTCACTGGCCGCCAGTGTCCAGAGCGGTTATGTCTGGCAGAGAGGCAGACAGTGTATCTGTGTGTGTGTGTCTGTGTGTCTGTGTGCGTGTGTGTGTGAGGGGCGGGGACAGACAGAGCCAGCTGCGGCGCTGTTACCCAGCACTGACAAGCGTCAGTCTCTGATGATGTCAGAGGGGCCAGTCGGCCGATCGAACCCGTCGAGCCGTCTCCTACAAACTCGTCACACACTCCATATCCTCGTCCTCCAACAGCCCGCTGTTCCTCTGCCGTGCTCCTCCAATCACAACCGAACTTCTGTGGTGCCCCTCCTCCTTCCCTTCCGCCTCTTCCTCCTCCTCTTCTCGTCCCCTCCCCCCTGCTAGCAGCTCCTGCCGCTCCTCCACCGAGGACGGCCCATGGACAGAGCCTCTGCTTCCTCCGGCCTCTTCCCCACCCTCGTTGACCACTTGGTCCCTGTGCGTTGCTGCTGCTGCTGTGTGGAAGGGGAGGAGGGTGCCGTTGGGGCTGTGCTGGGAGGTGGAAGAGGTGCTGGATGTGGCGTTCGTGGCCGTGTTGCCGTTGAGAATGTTGTTGGCGGCGTGCTCCATCTCCTCGATGGTCATGTCACAGGCATCAGCCAACTCGGCTTTGGTCACCTCAATGAACGAGGGGTCCTGGGCGAAATGACCCAAACCCTCTGATATTAGCACCTTGAGTGGAAAAGGAGAAAGAGAGGAATGGACAGACAGGAAGGGAGGAAGATAGAGTGAAATGGAGGCAGAGAAAAGTAAACTTTAATGTAGAAAGAAAAAATTATCGATGTAATCTCCTAATAAGTGTCTTGAATAATCAGTTGATCTGTGAAGCCAAAGGTGATGTCATCAAATTGGTTGTTTTAAAATTAAAAATTTTTTTAAGAAGTGTTGCGACCCAATATAAAAGATGTGAGAAGTCTATAAATCTCTAAACCTCTCAGATTTTCTCAATCAAATACATCTCTGAGGCCCAACGAGGTAAAACTATCCAATATTTCACAATGTTGGAGATAAGAATTCACATTTGTGTAGTAGAACATATTGTGTACTCCTCAAATTTCTCCTGTGACCCACTGGAGCAAACTCAACCCATTCATAATGTCAGTGATTCCCAACCTGGGGGCCTTGAGACAAAGAAAAACAGCAAATCCTTACAATTCAGGATTGTTTTAGTGCAGACTAAGTAACAAGTAGTGTTTAACTATCTCCAACCTGTAGACACACACTCACCGCCTCCACCAGACTGCCTGCGCTGCCGTGAGACAGTGAGCTGGAGTCTTTTCCCAGTAGCGAGGGCACTGTGAGCGACACCGGCCGTGGTGGTCTTTGATTGGACACGCTGGGGCTAGGACTGGGCACCCGGCTATTCCCATTACTGTCGCTGTACCTGGGAGCAATACATTTGTTTATTATTATCATTACTATTCCTACAATAGCTTAAGTGTCATCATTACTATTCCTACAATAGCTTAAGTATCATCATAACTGCTACGTGAACAATTGTACTGGGACTTGTAGCTGTTATTTTCAAGGTACTTAGTCTTACCAGGGCCCACAGTTGACAGAGGGCAAGCTGGTATTGAGCTTTTCATGGGAGTTGGAGCCCTCTAGCCTCAGAGAGGGCACTCGCTGGTAGGAGGCATCACTGCCATGGGCTGGGAAAATAAAGACAGGAGAAGCAACAATTAGGAGAACAAACCTAAATCCCCAAGTACAATGACAAAGCTGCAACATGACAAGAATAATAAGAATGACCGTTTTTCCCCTCATTAAATAAAGGTATGATTGTGCTTGCTGAGGAAATGTAATGCAACGTTTCTGCCAGTATTTGTCAAACTTAATGTGTGCACAGGATGCAGTATACCTGTGGGACTGGCTGGAGGCGTGGAGCACAGCCGGCTGAAGAGGGTAGGTGAGTGACTCCTTCTTAACAGAGGACTCAACCCTGCGACTGCAAGAGCCTGGAGGAGGAGAGAGCAGAGGGAGGGTGTTAGAAAGGAGCAGGACGTGGGGAGGGAGAATTATAGCTGAAAATGTAACTTCACACACTGTATTTACAACCTGATTATGTGCAGGTGTAAGAGTATATTTGTGTTTATTTTGTGGGCAACTTCTACCTGATGATGTACAAGGTGTAGAGGTACGGCCGTCTTCTGCGAGACGTCTGGCCTTGACTGTCTTCTGAGACACTCGAGATGGAAGGACGATCTCCGCCCTGACACACACACACAGACAACAAATACAAGCATGTAAAAATGTGTAAAACCTGGAAATAGGTGGCATTGTATTGACGTAAACACATGCACATATCCACTCACCCAGAGAAGTGGGGCAGAGGAAGACTCTCCTGGGAGACTGCCACCCTCCTCCTCGTCTGTCCTCTACCTCCTCTCCTTCTTCCATGGGAGTCAACTGCTTACATGTGTCATCATGATACACCAGCCTAATGAGTACACACATACACACAAAGAGTTAATCAAAGGCAAACCCAGAAACTAATTAAATTTAGACATGAAAGCTAAATTGTTCAGTGTGTGAGTCTGTTTCAGCAGTACATGTCAGAGGAGAGCGAGTGGTCATCCTCGTGGTACTCCCTGTCGTCGGCATAGCTCTCATCATATGTCTCCTCCGTTGACCCCTCGCCTCTCCGGATGATTGGCAGACGGCTGTCACTTGAGTCCGAGCTACAAAGTAACAAACAATCACAAGACCCGAAACAAACAAAAATAAAATAAAATAAACATAAACACAGACCACGTACGGAAAAAAACAGGGAGACAAACAGGCAGACAGATGTAAACACAAACAGAAAAAAAGAAGAAGCTGATTAGTAAAAAAAACTCAGAGAGGAGCTTAGGAGGAAAGACTTAGTGAGGCTTAACGACTGCATGTAGGAAAGGGAAAGAGGAGGACGGAGAAGAAGAAAAAGCTTGAGGAAAAGCAGGTGGGAACTATTTTTGTTAAAGCAAAATGGTAAGAAGCATCAATGGCAACAACTGGAATATGACAAACTGATAGCACGACTGAGGTGCAGACATCTTTATAAAAACAAAGATTAGGAGAGACAAGATATTGGCTGACGTTATTAGCTGATGCATTTTAATGTAAGCCTGCTGGGAAATGAAACACTTTTTATGCTGTTCTTATCATTTAAGATGAAGACCAATAAAGTAAATCAGATACTGCCTTAGCTACTCATCTTTTAAGAATTAACCTGGATACAATTTAGTTAGTCAGCAGAAAACACAGTAAAGTCTTTCACTCTGTCCTATACCTTCTTTTCAAATGCTGAAATCTTGGTTGTGTAGGTTTTTATTTCCTGAGACACAGGCTTAATCTAAACTCTGCATATAATCTGTATTAAACTATATGTTCTTTGTATTCCAAAGATGTCTTGTCACCCTATCTGTCCACATCTGTTTCATACTCCAGACTTAAGCTTGAAGGAGACATCCTGACATCTGAAGTTTAATCTCTTCTTCTTCATCAGATTGTTCGCTTAAAAGCTACAACATGTCAGCTGCCCCAAACCATCTGCTAATGGTTGTTTTATATTAAAACCAAAAGTCATTACAAACTGCTTAGCTTGTAGTTAGCAGTACCAATTATTTTTAATGATGAACACTCACAAATACAATTAACTGCTCTTTGTTTTCTTCAGGCACTGGCACATAAACGTCTGCTAAGAACTGCTTGGTGAAGAAAAAACAAATCAAATTTCTAAATGTCAAGATGTCCCTTTAATCCACAGCTATTCAAGGGCTCCAAAGCAAACTCTGGGTTAGAACAGCATTTGATTAAAACCTGACTAAGACTGTTCTGGATGAGTTTGATCAAGCTCATTTCACTTGGCAGCTGGGTGGAGGTTACCCTGTCGAAAAATCAATCAAATCCAAAGAGATAGTTCATCCGAAAGCTTATACTTTGCTTTGCCTGTAATGGAGCACTTAATCCTAGATCACTTACTGTCGTGACGCAAGGAAAGTGAATGAGTTAAACTCTCCTCTCTAATTAATTATAGCCCAGTTGTCTTTTACCAAGGATCTTAATCTTCAGAGGATGCCAGTCCACACACACAGACTAACCAAAACAGGTTGGAAAACAAAAATAGAAGTCTAAAACCCTGCTAGTTAACGCCTGGAAGCTGCAATGTCTCTCCAGGAAGGAATAAATAACCAACATGTAAACAAATTTGCTGTTCTCATAGCCTTGCCTGTAATATCACACAAGTATGAAGTTTGTCCTGAAGGCAGGACTAATGGAGACCACAGGAGTCATTGGCCTCATCCAATGGAGCATAGATGTGTTGAGAGAATTTAATAGCAATCTGCTTGTTAAAAGCTTTGGGTCTAAAATGGAAAATGTTCATCCTCTGGGGATGCAATTACACTAAGTAAAATGTGAGGGGGTCACCAATATCATTAGGAATCATCCACTAGGGACGATGAATATCCAGAGCAAATTTCATAGCAATCTAGCTAGTTGGACAGACCAACTGATAGACTGAGGGACAGACAGACCAATCTTAGACCCCTGCCTCTATAATGGCAAAAAGAAAAAAACATCCATGACAACGCAATATTAGTTAGCCCAGCACATTCTGCTTTGTTTTAACTAAATACTCCACGATTGTACACTAAATGTACTGAGCTATTAAAATCACAATAGGAGATAAGTATGAGCTTTCAGATGTTTCCACACAGGTGATGGACAAAGAGCAGACATTGTGTCTAACCCAGACCTGCCATAAAATACAATAGAACAGAAGGAAACAGCAGCAATAAGAGCCTTTGATAGGTAAGGTTTGGCCACGTTGCACCAAACAGTCTATCTATGGCTTTGATAGCAGATTATATAGTAGCAGCACAGAGTCCTGGCTTTTGCTATAGCAACCAAAACATTATGTGCATAGCAACAAGTCTCACTATAGCTCTTTGACAGCGATGTCATTTTATAAAGCATTATGAAACCTTTTCACACGCATTTAGGGGACTAACACAACACACACATATGTATATACACACACGCGCACACACACACACACTTTCTCTCTCTGTCCCCTGGCAACATACCGCATGAGGGTGTCATAAAAACACGTCCTGCTTGCCACCAGAAACAAAAGACAGGGAAAGAGAGGAGGAAGGAAAAAGAACATGAAGGAAATAAAAGAGCCATTTATGTCTGTACTGACATGTCATGTTGTTTATTATATTAGCTGGCCAGCTAAATATCTGTAATGATGGTCAGGAAATGAAAGAGACAGACTAATAATTCTTGCCTCAGTTCAACAGCATATAAAGTAGGAAAGGAAAAACATCACTTTGATACAAGAAAAACAAGAACAACAACGGTTGATATGACATAGATATAACCTGCTGTACGGGCTACACTCACCTCTTTGGAGGAAAGCACCATGCGGATCTTGGCAGCAGGATGGGAGTGAGCGGCTGTCCTGTGTGCCCGTCAACAGTGCTTATGGACGGGCTTGGGAATCGACTGATTCCCTGGGTCGTCACCCCAGCCATGCCAGTGTTGTTGGCATTGTTGATGTTGGCGTTGGAGCCCGATGAAGAGTAAGAGGAAGGGGTGAAAGTGGTAGAGTCCATGAGCTTCTCATGGGACGGGCTCTCGCCTTCGCAAGGGGAGCCCTTCTGGCTGATGTGCAAGGGACGCTGGGTAGTGAAGGACTGCGGGAAGGAACTGCGGCCATCGCTCTGGTTGTAGTAGTTGACGTGGTTGCTGAACAACCCACCAGTACGCTGTGGGGTGAGAGGAGAAAGAGAGAAAGATGAAGATGAGTGGAGGAAACGGAATTGAGATGATGGAAGAGACAGAAAAGGGAGAGGAGTAGAAAAGGAGACGGTAATAGCGGAGAAGGGCAGGGAGTTAGAGCAATGTTTATGTCACAGTATCGTTATAACTTACTACACTCAAACACACTATTGCTACTGTCACATTCACTGCTAGCAGCAACCAAACTTTACTCAGCTATGATGGAAATGCAAGCTGCTTGTATTTGCAATGTATCTCCAAATCAGAAATGGACTTTTACATTAAATCTCTGACATGGGAGCAGAATGATCATGAGAGTGAATAAATCAGACACTAAAGCTTGGTATAAAATCTCCATAATGTTCAATAATAGATCGGTGTCAAGAGAGTGGTTTGATTTTCTTAAAGTCAAGATGTTTTTCAGTCTATCTGTGTTACATATAGTAAGTGATGAAATACAGCAGTAAACAAAACAAAACATGAATGTGGCAATGGGTTTTGACAGTTGGGGCTGATATATGCATAACTCACCCGTGAGCGAAGAATTGTGTGTGTGTCTGTGTGCGTGTGTATGTGTGTCAGTTTTGTCAGAGGCTAACAGTTACAGAGCTCAACTTTTAGATGAAAAATTGTTATGTTAGATTTGATAGTTTTTCTTTTATGAAAAGATGTGACGTTGTTCTTATTTTGTAAGTTGCGGCTAGTGGATGTGCTTCCAAAATGCATACGACAAATTATTAAAATTTATTTCAGTAGTCTGCAGTGATTGGTAGCAAAGCTATGTAGTGGACAATGAGGCTTTTTAAATGTCTTTTCGAACCTCTGAGCACATGCAAGCATGTCCATGTATGTGCATAGAGCAATAATGTGGCTTCAAGCTGGACGCTGATCATCTCTTTCTCTCTTTCTCTCTCACTCTGGAGAGTGACTGAGGGTGTGTGTATCCGACCTTTACCCTGAAGATATCGTCCTCGGACGCAGCCGACACAGGCTCCTTCAAGCCTTTATCCAGCTCCTCCTCCACGGTCAGGTCTCCAGAGATGGCCCTCCGAATCTCTGGACCAATGTCATGCAATGTCCGCAGGCCAGCCTACACAGAGAACAACCACCAAGTGTTGCGCATGTAAAATTTATTTGATCATTTAAAAATAATTTTACGTTATTTTGCTGTCAAAACCATGAAACAACTGTTGTCTTCTGAATGTCTGCAACAAATTTATGAGCAACTGTACCTGCAGAGAGAGGGCAGTTTTGGGGGCCACCTTGGCCACCAGCCCTTGTTCTTTCCTCTTCTTAAACTTGCGGAAATATTCCTGGATGAGGAAGGTAGCGTAGAACTTCCCGACTGTTACCTCATCATCTGCAAGAAATAAAAATATTATAATTACAATAGCTTAATGCTTAGAATCAGGCCTCTCTTTTATTCAGAAAAAAATGATGTTGCAGGTGATACAGTTGATGAATGAAAATGTAATCCCAGCGAGTAGTGTTATGACTATTTAAAGTGTTCACCTTTTCAATATTTGTGTTTATTATTTTAGACTGTGTATGAAACTGTGTTAAAGAGTATACATACCACCAGCAGGGGGCACTACTTGATCCAAGAGCTTCATGCTGGTTCTCTTCCAGATCTTCTTCACTATTGCCCTTAGTTCCTCATTGGCCTGCTCCAGGTTACCTGCAAACACAAACAGTATACATACTGTAGATTCAAAGTAGTATTTTCACAGTTGCACACAATATTGCCACACAGCCTATCCAGTGTGAAAGCGTCAGCACAAGCGTATCTGTATTTGTATCTACAGGATAGTATATTGTTAATGCATTTAATACTGGATTCAGGAGGACCATGGGTGTTGTTATATTGTGTTCATTGGGCATCTTCAAAGTGTGAATGTGTGTAGCTTCTCTGAGCAGATAAAGAGAAGAAAGAACTGTACTGTACTGGGAAAGATGGTAATACATTTAATTTCCATCTTATACTCTAGATACAGTATGTATATATGCAGACATGCCCACTAAGTGTGTATCTTGTGCCTGTACAACTGCATTAGTGTTCATGTGTGTGTCTGTTACCTTCTGTCTTGATCCTGAGTGCAGTTCTGACCAGAGCAAACAGTGTGGCGTTAAACATCACCGTTCCATCGCTGTTCAGAGGCATGTTCATTGACACCAGACGCTGTGTGAGACAGAACATTTTGTTTAATCGGGCAAAATATTCAAATATAATGATGCACAGGTAAATTTCATCGTCAGCTGCCAATAGATACTGGCAGATGCCAATTTGTTGAAAATTAGCTGACAGTAGTTGGCATTATGATCACTATTAATTTCAATCAGTGTCTAAATATCAAAAATATTTTCTCGACATGTACAATCTGTTGTCAATGTGCCATTTGAGTCATTGTGGAAGGTGTTATGAGTTGTCAATATGTAATCACATTGATATCACAAAGATACATTTGTGTATATTTATCATGCCTGGTGAATAGAGTGGTTTTAATTCTGCCCCAAAATAGTAGCAGAATGAATTTGAAATCCTGATCAAATATTTTGTACATTTTCAACAGCTCTGCAGCCTTCACAACATGTTTGGGAATTTGTGGGACCATGTGTGTGGGTGTGTGTTTACCTTGCAGGCCACCCTGTGTGGACAGAGCTTTCCAAAGCCAAGGGGAGGCTGGATTCTCCGCAGCAGAGTCACCACATCCAGGTGCTTTATCCTCCCCCTGGAAACAGGACAGATGTCACATTATGGTGACTCTCTACAGAACCTCTGCAGATGACAGATTAATTATTTGGATGGCATATTTTGTTAATTATCTGTAAACTTACTTAGCTTCTGGGTCATATTCAGCCCAGATCCTCTTGAATTCATCAAGATGATGTGGCCCCAGGATCGACCAATCACGCGTCAAGTAGTCAAAGTTGTCCATAATGACGGCCACAAACAGGTTGATGATCTGGGGAGAATCAGGAGTCAGTCAGAAACTAAACTAACAAAATATAGTTGATTATAGATTACCTGTTTTAAATTATAACCATAACATAAATCAGCACATAAAAGGCACCTTTTAAAGGAATAGTTTAACATTTTGGGAAATATGCTTATTTGACTGCTTGCTGATTGGTACCATCTGTATGGTAAACATGAAGCTTCAGCCTGGGGGTGTTTAGCTTAAGTTAGGTTAGCATAAAGACAGGAAGCAGCTGTCCTGGCCCTGTCCAAAGTAACAAAATCAGCCTACCAGCTAAAGCTCACTTAAAAACATACATGGTGACAACAAGGCTCCAGGAAGTCACTATGTCACAAAGAAATAGCCTAGCAAATAACTTAATTGATCGTTTTGATCCTCTCATCTAACTCTCAGCAAGAAGTGAATAGCGAATATGTGTATTTCCTAAAATGTCCAACTATTCCTTACTCACATACAATGCAACCACTGCTTACTCTGATGCACAATTAGTCTTAAGTATCAAGTGTGAGTTTATTCCACCTTTCTTAACTTTATAAAATAATCAATCTGTCACCATACTCACCAGAAAGGCACAGAGCATGTAGAAGCTGACAAAGTAAATGATGGCAAACTGGCTGCCACAGTCCTCATTGGCCGAGTTGTTCTCATTGGTCGATCCTTTCTCACACGGCTTATTGGGCGAGCATGCCAGCATGATCTCCTGCCATGCCTCACCTGTTGCACATCTGATAGACAGACATACATGCACACACCCACACAAATATGCACACACGGTGACACAGATGCATGCAAAGATTATACAGACACATAAAAGAAATATAGAGAGACACACATACATGCATAAATGTATGTATCCATGCACCAGCATGGAGTCGTATTGAAGTATTAACATACACATACAGACACATGGATGTGTGCATGTATGCATACAGGCATACAAGCATATAGCGACACACGCACATAGATACAAAGACAGAGAGAGGCAGACACACACACACACATAAACACAAACACACACACATATGCACAAGTGTTAAGAGTGTGAACAACATAGAGAACCAAAAACTGCACCATATCATAATTATATCTTAATGCACTAAATTTACAGGGCAACAGCAAAGAAACATGATTTTATGTTTGCTTTTTTGAGCTGTAGATTAAGACCTTGTCCAGACTACTGTCTTCCATTCTGAATACTTCAGTACTATTAAGCTTTTCAAGTCTGCAGTTGCTGTATTGCCAGGTGATCATTGTTGGAGGTCTTTGCTAGATTTAATTATACAGCAGTATGAAGTATCCAAGTAGGCTGTCGCTCTGAATGGAAGCCCATTGCTATGATATATTCCATGAAGGAGTCAATACATAGAAAAGGAATGAATAGAAAAGATGCTTTTTATGGTTTAATGGCAAGGCAAAAACCATACCATAGTTTATTCTATACGATCTTTTCTTTCAGTTTCTATGGTTTTCGTCTCCTGCATGGAATCTTTACCATTATTGCCACAACACGGGACAGAGAGGTTTCTGAGACCGGATCCAGGCTGTTTAAATGTATTATCAGTACAGACCTGTGACAACTGTGTGACAAAAGTGTCTTCCTCAGTGGACCACAATATTTTGCATAAATCGGAATAAATTTTGCAACAATTATCAGCAAACTACTTAGCATACAGCTGTACAGATTGGAGAGTTTGGATGCTCATAACACTGTTATGTAACTGGTGATTCTGTCAGATCTTTGGTGATATTATGGGGGTCACTGCTACATATTTACAACTAGAACTTTTTAACTCTTGGCAGTAAAATGGTTTCATAGTACAAACTGAAAAAACGTTTTCCCACATTGGCTCTTGTGCAGAGTCAAGTCACAGAGTCAGCTGAATTTACAGCTTGACATTTAAAGATATCCTGGCATTTAATTAACCTGCTGCTGTCATAAAATGTCAGTGGTAACCTCCAATGTAAAATAAATAGTAAATGGACGATAGAAAATATAGGAGATCAAAAAGGAAAAAGAAAAGTTATTGTTGTTGAAGTGACAATTAAGACATTGATTATGTAGGAAGGACAGAAAGAGCAGAATGATATTCTAGAAAGAGCAGAAGATGTTGACTTTGAATCCATGAACAAAGGGCACATATTAAGAGAAATGGAAAGGAGGAAAAGAAATAGGAAGAATACAAAGAATGAAGAAGAGAAGTGTGGCATCTTCTTTACCTGAAGAGCAGCAGAACTGCCTGAGGGAACGTCTGGAAATTGTTGTTCCTGTTGATCTGTGTGTGGTCCCGCAGCGCTATTTTACCAAACATCTGCACGGAGGGAAGGAAGTAGTCACAGCACACAGGATATGACGTCAGCATTGACAGGAGGAAGGGATTTCTTTCTGGGGCAATCAAAATTAGAGGCCGGCTGTCCCCAGAAAATCAAATCAAAAGTGTCTCCCTCTCATCATTAGTGATACAAACAACTTATAGGAGAGACAGAAGGACACACAGAGAGAAGAAGAGGAGAGACAAAAACTGGCAACAGCTAGAGGAGGAAGAAAAGTGGAAGAGAGAAGGACGACGTGACCAAACAGGAACTCTGGATGACAAGACTCCAGGAGGACAGACACAGGACGGAGGCCAGCTAGAGGAGAGGATGAGAGAGAAGAAAACACGACAGAGGAAGGGAAACAAGGGGCCACGACGACAGCTTACCTGCATGCCGATGACAGCGTATATGAAGAATAGCATCACTATAAGCAGAGCTACGTAGGGCAGTGCCTAAAGAGGAGAGAGACACATCAGTAACAAGTGGTTGACAGTATTATCCTGCACCAAGGCTGGAGTCCATTCACTTTCATTCAAACTTCACACATCCAATTAGTCTAGAACTTATTTGGGGAAATTATTGTTAAAAATGGGTGATTGACTTCACACAGGTTTTTTTTTTTTTTTTCAAATTAGCAGGGGAAATATAAAAAAATTATCTTTTCTTTATGAAGTAAAAGTGAACTGATCTGCAGCCCCGTGTGGCACAACACCAAAAACAAACCAAGACAAATCATCTGACTTAGGAGTGAAAAACCTCAGTAAATTCATAAACTGTTCTCTGAGTTTAGCCAGGAGGGCAGTCCCCAATGTATTGTGCAAGAACCAAACATGGCCAGAAAAGATATGTCTTCTATATCTGCACACCTGGGAAACTGTGTGGAACTGAGCTCCTGGCTAACATTACCCCTGTGCCTGGGAGAGCAGGGCCAAATCATGATGAAGTAAAAGTTTGATTATGTTTCAATAAGTAATCCACTGAAAAATGAAATAAGGATAAAGGGTACAGTACGCTTTTGTGTTACAGTACAGTGATATATTCATTGACCAGACCACTGCTGATTTAAAATGTAACACCACAAGTCTATTTTTTGCTGTATCACCAATGTATTTTCAATGAATTTCAGTGGCTGTACTGTTCATGAAGTGGCCCGTCTGACATAACACAAGAGAGAAAACAGATTATTTTCTTTTCCCTATAACTCTCTATCAAATGATTTAATTTTTTGGTGGAGTGCTTCTTTAAACTTATCTACTGCTTAACCCACCTAAAGGGAATGGTGAGCTTTCAGGGGTTAGTAGGGTGTTGGAGGGAAAAGGGAAGTAGAAGAAGTGGAGGAAGAAGAGGAGATATGAGTAGGGAAGAGGAGAGAAGAGATTGCTGGTTAAGGTTCTTGAGTTCCTGCCTGTTTCCCAGCTTTGTGTCCCTACATCCCTCCCTGCCTCTGCAGCAAGACTCCCAAACCTTCTCTCCATTACCTCACACCATCCCTCTTTCTTTTCCTCCGTCCCCATCTAGACTAAACTGTCCGACGTCCCACCCGTCTGACTTCTTGCAAAAATAGGAGGTAGAGACAAGGAGGGAGGAGGCAAGGAAAGGAAAGGTGGCTTGTGAGACTCCACCAGGGTGGATTTACACAAGAACAAGGATATCTTTAGCCCCATGTGACTCAGATCTGAAATTACTAAATGGGTTGCAAAGTATTAATAATATTAAACTGGTCTATTCTGGATTAATTAAAGTAAATTAAAGTATGACATTCTAATACCTACATATGGTAAATAAACTTGGGAATTACTATGCCAAGTTTGGACCGCAAAATCTGTAATAAACTCTCTGTGGTAAAGCAAAGTGTACTTAAAATAGTACTATGGCCTCCAAAAAAGAGCTCTAATCTGCGTTACATTAGGGTTAAAGCTCTCCTTTCTATCTTGTGTAAACCCAACCCCCTGCTCTAGCATGTTGTGTCCGGTTCTCCCCTCACTTGGAAGGATTTGATGAAGGTCCACAGCAGGGTCCGAATCCCTTCCCCGCGAGACAGCAGCTTCACCAGCCTCATCACGCGGAACAGCCGGAAGAAGGTGATGGAGATCCTGGCGTTCTCTTCAGAGTTCTGTAGTCCCTTTTGGTGGGGTTTGGTGTTTTTTTAGAAAAAACACAGGACGCATGGGGAGACATGCAGATAGGTAAGGGAGGGAAACACGCACACACACATATACACACACACACACACACACACAGGTAAAGATGATCATACGAACATACACACATGCAAATGCACACAGACAAATGCAGAAATGCAGACATACAAGTAACATTCGTATGCATATTCCCACCCACACATATATGTGGATGTAAATATGTATAGCACACACGCACACACGCACACACACACACGCACACACACACACATACACACTGAGTTAATAAATGGAAATCTGCGTCCTAGAAAATCCCATCAAAATCAACTGACAAAAGAGATCTGGGAGAGAATCGGGCAATCATGCTTATTTTTCTGGCTTCATGGAAAAATCACTTGGCAACAAAGAGATTAAACTATCCATCATATCCCTAAATTAATCAGCTCCAACCTCTATATAACAGGAAAGTCCAACTGTACAATTAGACAACTCAAAGTTACTTGCAGTTAACTCTAAGAGGCCTTACTGAACCATCAAAATTAAAAATGGCTCCCTTAGTCTTTACAGATATTACTGTTTCTTAAATCACAGCACTCTGCTGTTCTATCTCACATCTATGCTGTCATGATCAAGTTGAAGAACACACACTTGGGTGTTGTTTCTATAACCTATTACAGATAAATCCAGCCTTGCAATGACACTTGACGAACAAGAATTAAAATACTCCAGGAGACCTTGAAGTAAATAATCTTACTAAGCTGAAAGACTTGGAGATCCTGCACTGGTATGGACTACAATTCTAATAGCTAGAGACCAGGTCAGAGACATTTGTATTGATGCAGCTAAGCTCTTTCATAAATCACTGATAACAATTCACAACAGATACAGTACAAAAATCCTAGCCTGCAGGCGGATTTCTGTTTCAATAAATCATTCAATAAGGCAGGCTAATTGTTTGTCTGTCACAACTGGCCACCAAGAGAAACAGTCCAATGATGACAGGTAAAAGAGAATATTTTCATCAAATAGATCATCTGCACTTCTTGTTTATTAGGATCTTCTAGAAACAAGTGTTTTTTTGCAGAACCTCTTGCACTACTTTGCCTCTCAAGGCATTTAAGATTTCCTTATATGGTATACCTTCATTCAAAATACACCTTAGTAAGGCTTTGAAGTACAAGCTTGAAATGCACTGTAGCTTTCAAACTGTCTATTGTCCCAGTACTCATCCACATGAAATAACTCCATGATGAAATATTCAGCCATCTTGCTGAGTGCTATTCTAATACAGATTTACTTATTTATGCTGCTGCTCGTTCTCAGGGACAAAAAGACAGAAAAACAATGGCAACATCAGGATTTGTTTAAAGCATGATGCAGTTAACACAGTAACTAAGGATCCAGTATATTAATCACAATTATACCACAAGCAGCAGATGAATCAGGTGAAACCAAATATAAGCAAAACTGCCATACAAAGATACCAAATATAAAAATACCAAATCATCAGCAATGATGAACAGCAGTAACAAGTATGCAAAAATGAAAAACATATATAATCTATACAATAGATGAAAAACATCTAACATACTAACATCTAACTACACTTTTCCAAATAAATGCACCAGTATGCATAGAATACACCTGACCACATAACAACCACAGCAGTGCCACACTATGTCTGTCTTCACTTTAATAATCAAATGTGACTCTAAAAACAAGATCATCCTGTCTGACCTCTAAATCTGTTTCATGCCATTTGTGTTTTTCCAAGAGGCCATCAATTCTTTATGCTAATCCCACAGAGAAAACACAGTGTGCTCCCAAAAAGAACTTGCCATTCTCCAAATTTCTTACTGTAGTTTGGGATAACAGACGTCAAATGTTACTTTTCAACATAAAACATGCTAGAATTATGTTATCTTGTTTCTAAAATGTTCTATAGCACATATATTATTCTATAAGTCTGGGATAACAGTTTGGGTACTTCCTATTGGTAGATGTTACATTTGCTGCACTGTTGACAAGTAACCCAAGACATGAGTTGTCCCAAACTCCAGTGACAGATATGTTGAAAATGACCGTTCGGAGGAGTGCAAGTCAAAATTCTGTACTGCATGTAATACCACAACTGGACCACAGTGGGGACCATTGCACCATTGAGAGGGGCAGTGAGCGGGAGAAGTACAGTGACAGTAAGTGTAACAGAGAGAGAGAGAGAG